CAATCTCCGCCTGCTTCGCCCCCTCGAACTCCGCTGCATAGGGTCCACTACGCGCCTCCTTATCGGTAAACTGATCCTTGGCGTTCTCCACTGCCGTTACCACGTATTGACCGCTCGTCATCCACTTCGGAGGGTGGCGTGCACGTCCGCCGCCGCCTGCACCACCCCCACCATCCTCATTGCCGCCAGCCAAGCTTTTGAAACTGCTGGCGGCACTTTCAGAAGACTCTGCCGTAGCTGCCGCACTCCGCCCAGAGTCGTCCGACTCCTCACCATCTCCACTGCCATTACCGTTGCCACTACCACTGCCTGCGCCTCCCCCGCTGTCGTTGCCAAGAGCACCACCACTGCCACTGTGGGTGCCTCCCACGCTACCGCTGCTGGCATTACCTCCACTGCCGCCGCTACCAGCACCACCACCACTGCCACTGCCACTGCCGGCACCACCGCCACTGCTGCTGCCACTGCCGGCACCACCGCCACTGCTGCTGCCACTGCCGGCACCACCGCCACTGCTGCTGCCACTGCCGACGTCATAGTCGACATTGGCTGGAGACAGCAGCAAACCCCAGCTGTCGTCACTAGTGCTGCTCGATCCTCCCACGGTAGAGTCCGCCTGAGGCAGCCGCTCGTCAAACGTAACGCTGCTGCTCACCACAATCTTTCCACCCACCAACACCCGAAACTGCCGTCCCTTTGGCTCCAGCCCCACAAACACCCCCTTCACTGCCACATCATCCAGCTTGCTCCGCTGCTGCTTAGGCACGTGCACGTACGCCTTCGCCCCAAACACCCGCAGGCTGGAAACGTCCGGCTTATTGCCCGAGAGGCGTTCGTACGGAGTAGTGGGATGGTTGCGGTACGGAGACGTGTTCCTCACGTCTGACGCATACGTAGCTGCCTCCTCCCAGAGCGAGGACTTCAGGCCGGCGTCGATCAGCATCGGTCGCACCTTCTCCAAAATCGACCTGTTCAGACGCTCCGCCTTGCCGTTCTGCTCCGGCGTGTACGGCGCTGTCTTCTCGTGATCGATGCCGTTGAACTCGAACCACTCGCCCAGCTTCCGGTTGACGTACTCACGCCCCCGATCCGTCCGCACTGCCTTCACATTCAGATCCAGCTGCCGCTCGAACATGACAAGCACCTTCTTCACCACATCAGGCACATCCGACTTAAACCGCACAAACTCCAAGTGCGAGTAACCACTGTAGTCATCCAAAAACGTCACCATGTAGCTGTTCCCATTCAGCGACTCCACCGGAAACGGCCCACACACGTCCATGTGGATCAGCTCGAGAGGCCGGGAGGTGGTGGAACTGGAGGACTGGAACGAAACCCTTGGCTGCTTGCCCAGCATGCACGGCTCGCACACCTTGTCTGCCGCTGCGAACTGCTTCAGCGAAAGGTCCAGCCCCTCCACCATATTCTCCCGCACCAGCTTCTCCATGCCCCCATACGACAGGTGACCAAGCCGCCTGTGCCAAAGGCACAGCGGGTCGAGGATGGGCAGCGCCGTATCCATAGCCTCCGCCAGCATATCATCGTCCAGTACCGACAGGGGTTCCGCGTCAATGTAGTGCAGTCGGCTGCCCTCCCTGCGTGACGCCGTGAGCACCACCGCTCCGTCGTAGCTGACCTCCGACCGTCCCCCTTTCTTCACCGCCGACTCATAGCCCTTGTCCGCCAGCACGAGAGCCGAGATCACCTTCACCTGAGCGCCCGGCACGTACTGCACGTCATGGATGCTGAACCGCACCCCCCCCGACACCAACACCACCGTTCCCGAGCCCTCTACTTTCCCGCTAGTGCCATACAGGCCGCTGATCTCGCCACCGGACGACCACTGGAAATCGTGCAGGTCCGCCAGGCTGTTGGTGACGTGGGTCGTGGCACCCGAATCGAGGATGAAGGGAGCGAGGGTCGGGTACTTGCTGAACAAGCCCCCTTCGTGCGCTACCGCTGCGTAGTCACGGAACCTTCCCGGCTGCCTCCCCTGCTGCGCCTGCTGCTGCTGCTGCTGCGCCTGAACCGCCTGCATCTGCTGTGCCTGCGGTACCTGCTGTACCGGCAGCACCTGCATCTGCTGTGCCTGCGGTACCTGCAGCACCTGCGGCTGTCCCACCGCCAGCTGCTGCATCTGCCCCTCAACACCCTGCTGCGCCTGAGCCTGCTGCTGCCTAAACTGCTGCACCTGCTCCTTGCTAGCCCGGCACTCGATCTTCCTGTGCCCCTTCTTCCCGCACCGGAAACAGACCCCGTTGAACAGAACCTGTCCCGGGAACGTCCATGGCTGGCCTCTGGGCCGATCAAACCGCGCGACGTTGACGAGCTCCATGTTGCCCGCCGACTGCTTCATCATCGACTCGTGCGTCTGTAGCTGCTTCTTGACGACCTCCAAGTTGTAGTCCTCCTCCTCGCCGTCCTCAGCTTCTGCGCTCGCCTTGGCCATCATCGCGTTGATGGTCGTCACAATCGGCTCAAACGCAGCCGGCAGCCCGGCCAGAATCTGCTCGGCCAGGTCCGTATCGGTAAACTCCACTCCAGCGTCCCTCAGCTGGTTGCGCAGTGCCTTCCCCCTGGCAAAGAACCCGGCGATGTCCTTGTCTTCCTTGCTGCAGAATCGCAGCTGCCGGAAACGCCTCTTTAGCTCCGGCCTCTGCAGCTTCATGGCGTCGTTGTAGAGCTTCTGCAGGATGTCCCAGGCCTCCTTGGCGGTCTCGCAGTCCTGGACGTCCTCCTCAAAATCCCTGCTCACATTGCGGCGCAGAAAGCCCAGCGCCTTCTTCGACACTGTCACGTTCGGAAACTCAGCATCTCTCAGCACATCCACAGCGATATCCTCTTGTGCCAGAAGATCGATATACTTCCGAGCAAACGTCCTCCAATTTGTCCCATCATACTTGGGAACAATCTCATACCTTCCCATCTCTCCTAACTACTTGGCCGATCCTGACTTCCTTCAGTTAGCCCCTTTGTCGGTGAGAGATAACACAGTAGAGCTCGGGGCTCATAACCTGTTAACCTGTGAATGGCGGCCGTATCATAACTGTCTCTTACAAGATAGCAATAATACCAATAGTCTGTGTTAGTCCATGTAAGCCATTAGCCATTGGGCTGTCTCACGCAGCCACATAGCCATGCGAGGCTTGCCCTTGCCGTACAACTGGCAATCCCACAGCGAGTTAACCGGAGAGGCTAACCACTCTACAACAGAGTATTTGCTTTCAATAAGTTCTTAGGTAATAATAACTAGGGTTGAAAGTTTACGCCGTAGCTCTGATGGTGCCTAATTTTTCGGTCCCTGATAATAATAACGCGTTCCAGGGGTATGTAGTAACGTCGTACATCAGGACGTTTAATTTTGGCGTCAAGCTAAAATGTGGTCCTGGAGCGCCTTAAGCCCGCATCAGGTCAATGTATACGGCGTTCCTGGTTGACTGTTTACTGCTGGAGTTGACCTTCTTACTGGCTTCTTTACTCCTATGTTGCTGATACCGTCTACTAGCTTGCTGTTTGGGTCCGCGGTTTGTTGATCTTTAGACGCCTCCGTAAGATTTTAGTTTGCGCTGTGTTGTTACCCCTCCGTCGGGGTAGGGGGGGCGCAGGAACCGCGAGATGGGCCCGCCCGACTGCGCCTCAAGCGTAAAGGGTGTGCATGCCGCGAGAAGGGCATTGCACTGTGTCGTGTGATCTATGTATTGGCGTGACCACCTGCCATGACCTGTATATTGCCGTGACCACCTGCTGCCGAGGCCTTGTGTACTGATGTGGTCTTTCCTGGAAGCCACCGGACGTGCGAGACCTCCTGCTGGTTACCCCGGGCTGCCGACCGCCTCGGCAGCCTAAGCGGGCTGCGCGCATCGCGGCTCCCCCCATCTACGCTGCCCCCCTCCCCCTAGCGCCCCATTCTTCCAGCTGACACGGGCCTGACGACAGACCGCCGCTCAAGATAGCATGACGTCAGTTGCGGCGCCCCTTCCCCCTACCTCTCGCAACGCTGTGGCACGGAAATCACTTTTCCAGCCACCATGATAACCTCAACAGCAGCCGGGCTCACGGAGCTGTACGACCCTCACGCGCCCACCTGGGACGGTGCCAACTGCTGCATCGTCTCAGATCATGACTGGGTGGTGGGGATTCTCACCGTAGTAACCCTCACCGACGCAGCGGCCTTGTTGCGGCCGGGGGCGCAGGCGGAGTTGCAGGACGAGGGGGCCTGACAGCGACCCTGCATTTGTGGCCCGCAGCCTCTGGTGATGCGGCTCTGCAGCGAGCTATCCGGCCTTCGGAAATTTGGAGGTCCACGGGTCCCTAGCTTCGGGCGAGGAGATCACGGAGTAAAATCAGAGTAGGGGGCTGGGGAGCTCATCACGCATTTACGGCCGAGGGGTCCCTCATGGTTGTGGGCGCCGCTGACCAGCTGGCTATCAGCGTATCTACAGCCACAGCGGGGCTACGGCTTGGTAGAGGCCAGTTAGTGACGCTATTGCGTGTTCGTGGACCCATGGCTGTTGGTGATTAGAGGCCACGTGAGCGTGCACCAGTAGAATCCGCATGCAGGAAGCGACCGAGTCGAACTGGGTTTGGGGGTTGTTCGTGCACCTGCATGCGGTTGCCTGTCCGGCATAGTAGGCAGCTGGCATGGCAGGCACACCTGCGGGCGGCCCTAGCCAGTGCAGTGCACTGTTCTCCCCCATTTCCAGTTAACACCCCTCTTGGGGTTTGGGGATGGGTGCGTCGGAATGAAGGCTAGCGGAGGCTGTAGGAGACGGATTTGCAGGCGAGCTAGGTGACGTAGGAAGTCAGGTCCTGACACCCTTAAATGGTTGCGAGTTTTGTTTAGGGCTGCTGCAGTGCCGTGGGTAACTGTGCGTCTAGCCGGCACACGTGCTTGTAAGTTGTTATGACTGGGTTACTTCCATACTTCGCGCCGTGCATCCAGGGAGGGCAGGCGAAACAAAATGCATCTCCGGGTCTTATATTGGCAATCCATAAATGAAGTATATGCAAACACGCTTCAATTTGCGAAATCGTTGGCTTGACACTCTTAAGGCTGGAACGCCGACCATGGACACAGAAGAGCCCACGCTGGGCGTTTGCAATTTCATGACAGCGTTCCTTCCTACAAGTATGTCGCTATAATATTAAAGCCTTAACATTGGATTTGCGTTGCTGCAGTAGCCCCCGCCATGGTCGCAGTTTGGAAGGCAACTTCAGCATTGCTACTTCACTTGTTGCTGTAAGCCAATAGCTCTGTTACGTAAGGTTTGAAGGCAACTGTCTAAGCCGTGCTCCTGCCTGCCAGGCTACTTCGCTTGCAAGTCGTCAATCCGCAAGGTAAGTAAGAGGGCGTACGCAATACGCACATATCCGTTGCATGGTATTAGCAAGAACGGCATGCATGTTGTGGAGCTTTCTTTAGTGCTAGAAGCATCTATTTGCTGGAGTGTACCACCTTTAAGGCAGTGGTTATCATCTTAACTAAAGCACATGCACATGCGTCTGGATTCGTCCGGCGACTCCTTGTCCCCTTCCTGGTTAGTCCCATCCATCATGTAGGTCCCTGCACAGTTCATCACCATATGTCTAACTTGCCAACTACACCAACCATTTGCTTCCTGAAATCAACGAGGGCAACGCACGAGTGCTGCTGTCACAATGTTGTCATAGCAAAACCCCGCCAAGAGATATTTGGTCCTTTAGGTATTTGCCCTTCCTGTGCAGCAGAACAAACGGGAGCGTGTTGGGCACGTTGTTGCGCCTGAGCAGCCCAAGCTACTTGCAATCACCCATCACAGCCCCAGAACCATGTGTGCTTTCATGCAGACGGATAGGTGCATGACTTGTCAGAGGCGTTTGGTTTGGCTCTAAACCCAAAAGATTGCTACCATCCCCTGGCCACAGTGGTTGACCTCTCTTACTACTGCTACTACTTCATGCAAAGCTACGACGTCGATGGGGCTGTGTAAGTCATTGCTATCATGCAGCGTGCGCTTTTTGGCACGGGGGAAGATATTCAAGTTACGCCTCTTTGCTGTTTCAGGTATTCTGGAGTTGACCTTACCCAATATGGTCGGATCAGTAGTGGCGAGTCGAATAGCGCCTACTTTGCTCGTCTTGCTCAGGCTTGCAACAGCTACGGGTCATCCTGTCAATCCTTCAACACATTTGGGTGGCTTAAAAAATGGGCTGCACCATATTGGGCCTACAGTGCTTCGTTTGTGAGCAGCGGTCAAGGTAGGTAAGCTGGTGCCTAATATTGTTAGGCTTGTGCCGTCCTTCCATAGCCTGAACTTACCACCGAAACCCTAAACCTCAACCGCCGGAATGTGGGGGATTGCCTCACACTCCCCAGGTTTATACGTGAAGACCACCTGCAGCCCCCCACCACCACCGAGCCCACCACCACCACCGCCGCCTAGCTATACCACCATCACCACCACCCAGCCCAGCACCTCCTAGCCCCTCGCCACCCAGCCCCGCACCTCCAAGACCGCCGCCACCCAGCCCACCGTCTCCACCTCCAAGCCCCCCATCACCAGCTCCAAGACCGCCTCCTAGCCCCACTCCGCCGAGTCCTTCACCCTCTCCTCCACTGTCCCCTTATCCGAGCCCTCCACCGTCCCCTGACCCGCCCTCGCCCTCACCGCCTTCCCCTGACCCGCCCTCGCCCTCACCGCCTTCCCCTGACCCGCCCTCGCCCTCACTGCCTTCCCCTGACCCGCCCTCGCCCTCACCGCCTTCCCCTGACCCGCCCTCGCCCTCACCGCCTTCCCCTGACCCGCCCTCGCCCTCACCGCCTTCCCCTCCACCCTCACCGGACCCGCCTTCGCCCCAACCACCATCCCCTGACCCACCTTCACCGTCACCGCCGTCCCCGCCACCTCCCCCTGATCCACCATCACCCAGCCCACCTTCTCCGCCGCCCTCTCCTTATCCACCTTCACCCTTACCGCCATCACCGCCTCCCTCTCCTGATCCACCATCGCCCTTGCCACCTTCCCCTCCCCCGTCCCCCGATCCACCTTCACCCTTACCGCCCTCGCCTCCACCATCTCCACCGTCTCCTGACCCTCCATCACCGTCCCCGCCCTCCCCGCCACCCTCTCCTGACCCACCCTCGCCCTTGCCACCATCTCCTCCGCCCCCTCCTGATCCACCTTCACCCTTACCGCCATCACCGCCTCCCTCTCCTGGTCCACCATCGCCCTTGCCACCTTCCCCTCCCCTGTCCCCCGATCCACCTTCGCCCTTACCACCCTCACCGCCACCGTCCCCTGATCCACCCTCTCCTTTGCCACCCTCTCCCCCACCCTCTCCTGATCCACCCTCGCCGCGACCACCTTCCCCACCGCCGTCCCCCGACCCACCTTCACCCTTACCGCCCTCGCCTCCACCATCCCCCGATCCACCCTCACCGACCCCACCACCCTCTCCTGATCCACCGTCGCCCTTGCCACCTTCCCCTCCCCCGTCCCCCGATCCGCCTTCACCCGTACCGCCCTCGCCTCCACCATCCCCCGATCCGCCCGGACCGTCCCCGCCTCCCTCTCCGGATCCACCGTCGCCCTTGCCACCTTCTCCTCCCCCGTCCCCCGATCCGCCTTCACCCGTACCGCCCTCGCCTCCACCGTCCCCCGATCCACCCTCTCCCTTGCCACCCTCTCCCCCACCCTCTCCTAATCCACCTGCACCCTTACCGCCCTCCCCTCCTCCTTCTCCTGATCCGCCCCCGCCACCTTCCCCTCCCCCGTCCCCCTTCCCACCCTTGCCCTTGCCACCCTCCCCTCCACCGTCTCCAGGCCCACCTTCAACCCCGCCACCCTCACCTCCACCATCGCCCATCCCACCCTCGCCCTCGCCGCCTTCCCCTCCACCTCCTCCTGATCCGCCCTCCCCATCTCCGCCTTCACCCCTGCCGCCTTCCCCTCCCCTTCTGCCCCTCCCACCCTCGCCTTCGCCGCCTTCTCCTGCTCCTTCGCCCCTCCCACCGTCGCCCTTGCCACCCTCCCCTCCGCCATTCCCTAATCCACCGTCTCCAGACCCTCCTTCTCCTCCGCCGTCGCCCTTGCCACCCTCGCCCTTGCCACCTTCTCCTCCACCTCCTCCTGATCCGCCTTCACCGCCGCCCTCCCCTCCTCCGCCGTCGCCTGATCCACCCTCGCCCTTGCCACCGTCCCCTCCACCTTCACCCTTCCCACCTTCGCCCTCGCCACCTTCCCCTCCCCCACTGCCACCTTCCCCCACCCCTCCGAGCCCTCTTCCCCCATCGCCGTTTCCTCCATCACCCTTTCCGCCGTCCCCTTCGCCTCCCAGTCCCGTTCCGCCTTCCCCTTGTCCTCCCTCCCCACCACCTTCTCCTCAAGACCCTCCCCCCCGCCCGCCTTCTAGCCCAGTGCCTCCCAGCCCACATCCTCCTAACCCGTCGCCCCCAGCACCATTTCCACCCAGCCCCTTACCGCCTGCTCCCCCGTCACCTCGACCACCCTCACCGCGTCCTCCACCTCCGAGGCCACCTCCCATTCTTATCTCCCCACCACCGCTAGCCCCCTCACCCCCACCACTGGCATGGCTGCCAGCCGTTAGCGAGGAGCTGGCATCGAGCCCAAACCAAACAGCTGCAGTGCTCATCGTTGCTGTTTGCCTTTCCGGCCTGCTACCCTCAACTTTAGGAACTGAACCAGGCCAGGAGGCTAGAGGAACCCAGGTAGGACCGGGAACGTAATTGATTTTTACACCCTGATGTCACTCACACGTTCCCAGGCACAGAGGCATCGCAGTAACTTCAGCCACGCACACTCGCGGCCCTTACTCGCGACCAGCAAGTCATTCCTTCAACACACGGGTTGAGGGGCAGTGTACCGACGACCCTATCTGTACTATGCATCGCCCCCACTCCAGGCTGCACTGGCTTCTGCACTGGCAGCCGAGCTCCGCACAGCCGCTGGGGCGGCGCCCAACGCCGGGACAACCCAGGTTGCCGCATTGCTGGCAATCCGTGGGACCTCCTCACCAGCAGCATGCGCCGCGTCCTCACCAACTCCTGTTGCTGTGCCTTCCGGAGGGAATGTGACCCCTTCGGCCAGCACTAGCAGCAGCACAACAGCCGTTACCGTCTGTTTACAGGTGGGTTGGCACAGAACGGCTGGTTGCGTGCTCGCTTCCGCACTTCATACCGTGCGATCTGCGTCTCATGTCTCTCGTAGTATTCGCCGCCATCTAAACAACCTTTTATACGGTGCTAAGTCTCTGCAGTGATGCCCAGGCCCTGCCCCAATCCTCCGTGCATGCCACCCACAGGTATCTGCTGTCGCAGACGCACCATGGATAACCCCAGGCAACCTGAGTGCGGCCCTCGGCTCACCTGCTGTGGTGGCTGCACTGCCGGCGGGTGCGGCTGTGTCCCTGGCTTCTGCAGCGCCTGCAGACCGGGGCTTGCCCTCCAGTTACACGCCCCGGGGGGACACCGCTGCTCCGCAGCTGCGGCTGCTAGGCGAGCAGGACGTGACAGTGACAGTGCTGGGAGAGTATCAGGTGGGCAGCAGTCAGTCGGATGGGCCCGGAGGGGGGATGGACAGCGGGCGTGCGTATATGCTAAGTGAGGGTGTGTGCGTGCTTTTAAGCAAGCCATGTTACCGTGCTTGCCACAGCCGCCGACCGAGGAGAGGTGTACTAGCCATTCCTGCTGCACCATTTTGTTATTGGGCAGGCAGGCCGTAAGCCGACCTCCGGCATGGACACGTCAAGCCGTAGCGTACGTGCGAGCCTCTACGGTGGCAGTAATCCTCTTCCTCCTGCCCGCAAAACCCCGCAGGATGAAGGAGCTACTTGCGTGGATGCCTCCGAGGGTTTCATGACGGACTCAGCGGTCGTAACGGTCGGCCTGCCAATCAATACCTCCCAGGCGACCCCGCCCGGTGTCCCAGCCGTCGTTCTGTACGGCTGCGCTGACGCTGCCGGCAACGCAGCAACGCCTGTTGTACGGAGGGTGACCGTGTCCGACCCCTGCCAAGAGTATGGAGAGGCCACGTGCTCTGAAACGGGCTCATGCAGTGTAGGAGGTAAGTTAGGGCTGGGTAGGGTTAGGTTAGGTTAGGTTAGGCTATGAAAGGGGGTATCCCGGGCAGGGCGTTGAGATGCGACATGATGCGGTGGTGGGGCAGCACCGAATGCCGGTAGGAGCCTCGGTTAAACGTGTAAGATGTATGCCAGCTCAGTCGAAAGTCCAACGTTCCCTCGCAGATAGAACTAACCTCTGGCGTTTTGCCCCACCCATGCCTCATACTTTCCTGCTGTGCAGGCAGCTGTCAGGCGCGGGTGATTAGTACCTTGAGCTTTAGCTCCACAGCAACCACAAAAGCTGCAGACACAAGCTCGTCATTTGCAGATGCCTCGACGAAAACTATATCGTCAATAGTTGCTATCACGGCCGCGAAGGTTAGTGGGCGCATCCAGGTTGTTGATGTGGGTGCGGTGAATGACCCTTACCATGTTGTATGGTATAGTTAGGCCACCAGTGTTGGGCCTTACTCTATGTGAAGGGCCTTACCCTTCACTCACCGCAGGTTGTACGTTCACCCGCTGTTGTAGACCACACGCCACCCACCATCATCGTTCTTGACCCTAGTACGACATATAAGCCTGGACAGGGCTACTCAACAGAGGCCGGCGGGATTGGCCGAATCACATTCATTCTTGTCGGCTCAGACTTTGTTGATCCTGGAGTAAGGTGAGGCCCCCAACTATGGCGCGAGCACCCGCCGCATGGGGTCATCCCTTGTGCACCGCCTAGCGAACCCATGGAGGGCCTTAGCCGGTTAGCACTCCATGGTATAATGTCGTGGTTAGATTGACAGTGTGCAGGAATAGCGCGCACCCTGCCTCTCTCCCACTCATCCTGTAATTTTACGCAGGGTCGTGGATGACGTGGATGGTGACATTAGCGCCTCAGTGGCCCGTTCCCACCCCACTGGGTCCCCCCTGGACACGCGTGTGCCCCGCAATGAATCCGATCCCTATGTAATTACCTACATTGCCACGGATTCAGCGGGCAATCGCGCTGTCGCCTTCCGCCGCGTCTACGTGGTTTGCCCTGATGGAGAGCGTGTGTGCAGTACTTTTGAAACCAGTAACGGCTTGCCGGCCTGCAGCATTGGTGGGGGCATGTGCGGACCCACGCCAGCGCACGCTATCAGTAGCAGCGCAGCGGCCGTCAGCAACACGCCACCGGTAGTTACGCTACTCGGTAAAGCCCTTGTCGCAATGGTGGCTGATGGCGGCGGTGGGTATGGACCTTGCACACAGTTCTCAAGCACAATGGACCTCTGTGACCCAGGGGTCACTGCCACGGACGTTGAGGATGGCAACCTGGGCCCACAAGTACGCGCCTGCGGAGAATTGTACAACATAGCTTTAAGCAATGGTGGCAGCAGCCGCAGTAGTAACAGCCTCGCGGCATGTAGAATTAACACCGCAGTGGCAAGAGAGTACCAAATAAACTACACTGTCACAGATTCAGCCGGTGCAACGGTTTGGACCGCTCGCACTGTGAGGGTGTGTCCTGGGAGTGAGGTGGTCTGCTCAGACCAATCCTGCTCGCAAGGTGAGTATGCATAACTTTGCCTTTGGTGAGCTTATAATTAAAACATTTTGCTTTTAATGTTGCGTGTTGCTGGTGTTAGCCAAGTCAGGCATATGCACGTGCGTGGTAACTGTGCATGCTTGCAGCAAACCCTGTGCTAACTGTGCGTACGTGGCTGCGGACGCTTGTATGGTTAAGCACTACAGAGCTTTGCTTGCACCCACGTTCCGCACCTTTCACCCTTCACATCCTGCCTCCTGGAATGCAGATGGCATCTGCTTGGGGACAGACCTCCCATCGTCCAACTTGCCGTCAACTATACCTGTAGCCTTTACCGCCGCCAAGTCCCCTACGCTAACGCTTCTATCAAATGACGTGGTCAACGGCAGCGTGAACTTGCCAAGAGGACGTACATATCACCTGTGCGCATTTGGAGAGGCGGCGATTGCTGAGGCGTTATGTGACCCAGGGGTCGTTGCCACCGACAGGTTGGGCGTCAACATTACCGACCAAGTGTACGCCTGTCCGCCAGATGCGTGCTTTCTTAGAGGCGTTGCCTGCATTGGACACGAGCTATGGAAAAAGGGCATCGAGGGCTGTGTGAACTCCAACCTGCCAGGTACCGGTACGATAAATCCTCTGGCTCTAAGCTCTTGAAGCACGGCGCTCAATAGAAGTTACTAGTACTTACAAACTCGTACAGCCATACCTGGCCATGTTCAGCTGTAGTGCTGTGGGGAGCTGAAGCCACATTGTTCGTGAGTAACCAGTACTCCGCTAACTCGTAATTTGCTCCAACTGGCCCCCGCAGTTGGATCTCAGCTTGAGGTCAACTTCGTGGTATTCGACCCGTTGGCGGAGGTGCCACGCGCCACCGCAACTCGCTACATCGCAATAGCGAGCCCCTGCAGCAATGCAGCGGAGGTATACTGTTCAAATGTCAATTCTTGCGGATCAGATCCATGCGATGTACGTGACCAAATGCGCGTCATCACAAACAGTACTACAACAGTACCGCAATCACCAGTCCTGCTGCTCGTCGATGGCGGCGACCCAGCAGCAGTGGAAGCGCTGGCAACATCACTCAGCGTTACTTCTCTGACGGCTCCCACCGCAGCGTTAAACCTATTCAACGGCTCTGGCCCTTTGTACGACAACCAGCTGAATACAATCTTGCCGTACGGAAAACCTGCACCGTACTCACTATTGCCGTGTAGTGACGTGCACAGCCTCGTCGGCTGCGGTGCGTTGGCTGTTGATGCGACAGATGGCGACATATCTGCAACCGTATTGGTGAGTTGCGTGCCATCGTGGGTTGCTAGACAGGGGCCGATTCGCGCAGCTAGCAGGCAGACTGGTTGGGCTTGGGAAACCAAGCTGGCCGTACGTACAGCAATGAACAATACGGCCCCTAGCTGGTTTGTGAGCAAGGTACCCTATCAAAGTAAACGGTGCGGTCCCTGCTGCCACCTGACGTTTTGCCGCCTGTAGGTATCTCCAGAGTGTCCTGCTGTTGAGCCAAGCGATAATAGCACCAGCGATAGATCAGCAAGCACTGATTCGTGCGCCAAATGCAGCGCTTGGGCCTTAAGCACTGGCGTTTGCGCCCCAGGCGTCTACGCTCTTAGGTACGGCTGTCGGTTATGTTCTACAGTGTACGGGCAACGTGGGCATGACCGCCTAAGTACCCAATAGCTAGGGTACTGCATGGCTTGCTTCTCCTGCACAGCAGGGCAACATGGCGGCTTATTGGCGTACTAGGACTGCTTGAGAGGGCGGGGCGCCTTACGGTGGCACCGTATGGATGGGTGCTATGCTTAGGAAGGTGCTGTTGCCTTGGTAAAACCGAGCTTCATCTTGGTTAGGTGTACCTCCTGCTGCCCCCTGCCCTATAGGTACTCCGTGACGAACTTAGACTCCAAAAAGGCCTCTCTTCTGCGTGTCGTGACGGTGGAAGAGAGGGTGTCACTTACCTTCGCCCTCAATGTTTCAGTGCCACTTTCTTTGTCGCTCGCACCCCCACCTCCGTCACCTCCACCTTCCAATTCTACGCGTGGCGTCAGCAGTATTGTTAGTTCCACGGATACGGCTGCAGACCTTAAGAATGCAGCCAACGCGTCTGCGGTGGCGTTCACAGTTAGTCTGTTGCGCGATTCCAATCTGCAGCGGCAGCTAGCCAGCGCCTTCCTGTCTACCTATCGGTTCAACATGTTGCTTGTACGACGCATTAATGTCACGACGGCTGCTGTAAGTACCTAACAGCGTGGCCCACATTGGGACGTGGGATTAGGATGTAGCCAAGTTCAATCCATGCTGAGTGTGAATCCGCATGTGCTCGCAGTTACACGCCAAAGCTATTAGCTCATTGGTAAAGGGGCAACGTAACTTGCTGCAGCTTTAGCACCTTACACGAATCTGCTGGCCTTCCCAACCCCTGCAGGTTCTGTCTGCCAACACTAACCCCGTATCTTCAGGACCCGCTACCGCAGCAGCTATGTCCTGCAACGTCCACGTCAGGCTAACGATAACAATTGGCATTCCCTTAACATCACCGCTATCTTTCACAGCTACTGATGGCAGCCGCCGCCGCTTACAACAAAATGCGGCTTTTCACGAAGCTGCCGTTCTCGGCAGTCTGCAGCCAGCCCCAAACCTAGAGGGTCGTGAAGTGCCACCCGCCGTAGGCGCTGCAACGCTTTCCTGCAACATGCGACATTCCGAGCCTGAAACTGGCCATCCTGACAGCACACCGGAACCTGCAGCTCAGGCCCCAACGGCTACACCAAACCATAAAGCCAGACACCTACACCTAGCGGCCAAGCTTCCAGCCAACGCCCCCGTGGACGGGGAGCTATTTGCTGTTTCTGAGCAAGTGGAAATTGTAGGGCAATTGAGGATGGATGCAGGGTCGCCGTCCGTCAGGCGGAACTGGCCATGGGCTGGTAACCAGGATGGAGGCACCGGTGTCAGTAGCAGGTTGTTGCCGTCAGGGACTCGGTCATTGCTAGATTTTGCGAGTTCATGCGAAGGAGCAGTGGCAGCTCTGCTGGCCCTATTTAACGCTACTAGGGCGTCTCCTTCGCCTTCTTCTCTCTTCTATGACTTCTCAAGCAATGGTCCGCTGGTTATCACGTGTGATACACCCTCAATCGACTCCAACTTAACATCTCTGGCGGAGGCCACAGGTGTCGTGTCAGCAATGCTGGACTTGGCTTTAACGGTTCATGGTGATGAGAAAACGGCTGGCAGTACTGTCTCCCAAATCGACAGTTATGATGACATCCTGCAATCATCTGCAGAAAAAGCTATCCAAGAGCTACATGTAGGTGTATTGAAAGTTACAACATACGTGCTTTGCCTGCTTCTGCTCGTATGGTAGTCAAGGGCATTGGGCTTGTATGTATGTAGATAGCATGCGCACAACCCATTCACACCGTACGGTCCACGGTCTTGCATGTACGACATACCATCTTTTGGCCTTGCCTCCAGCTGTCATCGCTTACCGGCTAGTTCCCAACCAATACTACCCTGACTGGATTCCCCCCTCCCTCCCTTAACTTCCATCGTGCAGGACGTTGCTATAAGCGCAGTCGCTAACAGCACCACAAAGTCAAACACTTTAGTGCGGCTATTAAAGAATGCGACCACTGAGGACGGAAGCTCGGCAGCTGCAGCGAACAACACGTCAATCCTGCTGCAAACATCGACCGCAGAAATGGACGACTTGGCGAGCTACACGCTGATGACCGCACAAGAGGTCATAAACAGCCTAGGTAGTCGCGCACCCGACCTTGACTCTGATGATATGGAGGAGTTACAGAGTTGCTTGGGGTTGAGGGGAAGTGGCCGCAGCATGCGAATTTCATTCAGCGTGGCTGCGGGTTTCTCACCACCATCCCCGGCTCCTGCAGCACCTCCTTTTCAGCGCCGTCAGAGGCAGCTCCTGGTTGTCAGCGGCGGCGGTGCTACTTCTTCTAACCGCAAGACAGACTATGTTGCAGGCTACCCACTTCAGAAACGTCTTTTCGCAGATTCTTCGTATATTATAACGGGAGATGAGTTAGCAGTAGCAGCACCAAGGTTTGTGGGCCAATCCGGCTCGACCGTTGTGGCAGGCCTCTTCTTGTACCAGCGTCGCATTGCAGCAAAAGGCCTACTGGATCTGTACGGGGGATGTTGTAGTGGGGGCACCTTCGCCAGTGGGCTTGCCGTATCTTGCAATCCTATTTTCAACAAGACGCGAGCAGTTACTACAAGTGGGGCGACAGCACAACTGCGGCAGGATATGTTGGCTGGCATTGGCGTTGATGCCGCTTTCATAACTAGGTCAAAGCTTTACAGTGCCGAACTCGTGTCTCGACCTGGTGAGTATGGTGTCACGTGCAAACAGCGCCCGTGGCAAAAAAATTAGAATTAGGCTGGATGTAAAACGTTTTGCCCCTTCGGCGGCTTGTCCTTCTTGCCCTAATTCTTGCCCTACTTCTTGTATATTGTCTTTCGGATATATATACCATGCCATGGCATCTTCAAATGCATTAAATGAATTAGCATTCAAGAACCGCCTTACATTATCTCCTGTTCTATACCACAGCGGTGTTTCACATCGACAGCTGATTCCGCTGCTCATCTTTCACATGCTACAGGTGACTACTACAACGTGACCCAAGGGTCGGGTGATCTCAACCCGCATGGTGTGCCTTACGGGTTTTTCCAGTCCGCTGTGCCGCTTCCTGGCGTGCCTGCTGATGCCTATCCCTTGCTAATTGACACTGCTCTTGGTGAGCAGCGACTCCAGAAAATTCTTTTGGCATTAAAGGACGGTGCCTACCTGGATTCGGAGTTGACCGAGAGGTGGGCGGAAGCTAGCAGCGAGGTGCTTGGTCGTAAGTAGGATCTAAAGACAACCCCAGGTGTTCGGTTACATAGGCGCGAGCGTTACTCCACCGGTCAAGTCCTGGGCGTCTCCATTGTTTATTTCATGCTTTGAATTCGTGCCATGCCCTGATTTTTTTGCTCAGTAACGTTACCACCTTATTACCCTTGTCATCTATCCATTCGCAGCCTTACAGCTCAGCTAGTGACGTACAGTCCTGATCGTCACGTCTTCGGCTACTGGCGCGCTCACTTCCGCTGGGGTGCTGAGGGAGTTATTCAGGGCTTCATGACTGTGCAGGGGCTGCCAGCCGTCGATTGGAAGCTCTCTTTGGAGGTAAGTTGCGTACTAAATGAGTTTGTGCATTTGTCCTTTGCATTATTTACCATTTGGGCAGTAGCGCCAGAGTCTTGCATTTCCCTTTCACGCAAAAGGGAAGGGAACTTGCTAACAAATTTACCAAAGCTTTCCGTACCCTGACACGCGTGCCTTCCGTTCGTATCTTTGCAGCGGCTCGTATAACGTACAAAATGGGCTATAAAAAGTTAAGATTGCTTAACGAGGCGTGTTAACATTAGGGTTGGCCGGACCATTGGGCTTAGGAATCTAATCTAATTAGGAAGCATTAGATTCGAAGCTAGAATTGGCCGGACCATTAGGCTTAGAAATCTAATCTAATTAGGAAACATTAGATTCTAAGCTAGAATCTAGAAGGCATGTTTTGTAAGTCTTATCCTCCGAAACCGTACGGCACCTTAGACTTCCAAGGTTTTTCACGCCCGAGGTTTAGATACTGATCTCGGGAGTGGGAAGTAATGCGGTTAAGTTGAGATTTAGCACCGAGTTCCCTATTACGAACACCCCAAACCACTTTGCAAAGCGTTCTAATGACCCCCAGCCAAGCCAAAGGGCCAGTCAACACCGCTCAAACATGGTCAAACATCGCCAATCGACCACTCGCAACGGATGGCTAAGGCTCAGTCAACCTTGGGGTGCAAACGTCATGTCTCGTGTTCATTTTGTTTCTAACTGCTGAGCACTTGTTATATATGCCTTTTCGCTCAATTGGCGGCAAGTATAGGCCGTGAACTGTTGCTGGACACGGGGTGGATTTTTCGTTCATCCAGGTTGAGAAAATAACCTCGGCAGCGCCTCAAACAGATTTGTGTTTTTTGGCCTGCCCTTGATTACAGGCGCTCCGCTAGGTTGCAGCAACCCAACACCCCGGCCTTTGTAATGCAAATTTTCTCCAAATTATGAAACATCATGCATGAAGCCAGAATAGCGTGCATGGTTCCATACTATTGATTTGTGTATGAACGGTATCATGAGAAGTGTTCAATTCAGGTTGCGGACAAGGGAGGTTTGTAACCCAACCTACCCTTTGTGTTGTTACGACTGCCATTGTACTGTACATTGTCAATTCGAGACAAAATGCGTAGAAAGTAAAAAAGACGAACGCCATATAAATGAGTACGCATATGTCCGTATTAATTACGTAGACGAACACGACACGTGCATGAGTAAATCGAAGCCCACCTTACACCCTTCGTGTCAGGAACCCAGCGGCAACGTTCAGCTTAATACAATTCCAACCAATGCTGGCATGAACCGAGCATGCTTACAATTTATTAAAGACAAGGAACAAGATCACATCGCATGGCCCTAAACGCCCGTAGCACCATTATGCGTTCAAGCTGCCCCTGCCTGTACGGCAGCAAAGGGGTCACATGCACGCCCAGTGCCGTACACCTACGTACTACGTTGTACTACATTGCAGCCTAGCTTCGATTTGACGTGTAACAGTTCATGTTCAATTTTAGCCTTGCAGTTAATAAATTGACATGGCCCCTTTAGCCAAGAACGTAACCGCAGACACTGCCAATAACTATCATCCATCAAGCTTGTGCATTCGAAACACGGCCTCTATCTTTGACCTGCTATGTACGCAGCTGCATGTATATATGCCTAAATTGCATTTTTTCAGGTATCCTTGCATTTTTAGCATTCTGCATGGAGTATCCCTCGTTACTGGGCAGTCCGCAATCTGACCCAGCTTTCCATAAACCGTTTTTCATGTCCACATACACAGCCAATTTGGGGGCATATCGGTATTAGGGAAGCATGCCCCCCTGCGTAAGGACAATGAAGCCCGGTTATAACCAGAGTGTTGCCCATTACTAATGCGTGCAAACCTAAATACCGTAATGCATGCCATAACAACTCAGAACTTGCAATTAGTAGGCCATTGCTATTTCCACACTTGTTCATGCTTAGGAAAATACACTTTCTTGATCAGCTACGGATGTACCGCTACTGCATAACACTTTACCCGGTGCCGTTAGTTACGTTACAATCATGTAATCATGTTGCTGACAAAACTGCGTGATTTAACGACATTCTGTGAAAACCATCCGTCTGTCGGCAACATGAACAACGGATGTCTGTGTCTCCAACTTAAAAAAGGTTGTTACCTCACCTATTGCCGACTGCGCTGGGGCACACTTGCGTTACCGGCGCTGTGCCCATTACACAGTCCGTCTCCTCTGTATGTGGCTACCCCCATTGGCCAGCTAACATTCCTTGCCTTTCCCCTTCCGGCTGGCCCATGCCTACAGTCCGGCCACGCCCTGCAAGTGATTTCGGACCTGCTGCTGGTGCTTCTGGTGGTTACCTACTGCACACTGACACTCCAAGACCTCATAGCTAGTGCGCGGGAACAACGTGAGCGAGCTCGTGTAGCGCATTTAATGGTTGAAGCTTACATGAGGAACGTTGATGGGTTTAGCCACGACAGCAACAACTTAACTCCCCAAAGGCCCAGGATAACTCCTAGTAACAAGGCTACATCCTTCCTAGTTCGCTTCCATTCATCAAGCTCATTGTCAAGAGGCCCCTCTGGACAGCAGAATAGCTCTCCTACATCGCCTTCAAGGGTGCTGCTAGAAGCAAGGGACGTCCCACCACTAACAGATGCGTCGTCCAGCTTGTACTCACCGTTGCCCGACTCGCCCGTGATCAGTCCTGGGAAGGGTCTATCGGTGGCCATGCCTGTTGGTGCCACAGCCGTTGCAACAGTGGGCCGTGGGTCAATTATCGGTAGCCCAACTGCTCGCAGTCCTTGTGACAACAGTGAATCCGGCAACGGCAGAAGTCGCTGGCGAGCCAGGGTTTGCAGCGGAGAACGACATGCCTATGAAGCTGCTCAGGGCGACCGATCACGGGAGGGGCCTATTTGCGAGTCAACTTTGCCAGGAGAAACCTCAACACCGTCGTCCTTGATGGCCCTAGACAACCCCGCAGGGATTCTCAATGGTGCTGATCCGCCAGTTGCAACCATGTCCCAGTTTAGAGGTATCCCATTGGAGCTGAGGAGAGCTAGGAGTAGCGCTATGGGTGCCCAACACCACAACACCAGCACCACTGGTAGCGGCCCTACAATGCTTAGCAGCCCGTCAGCCGTCTCAAACAGTGCAGTATCCATGAAGCTTCGTTCAGGTGCTTCTGAGAGCAACCGCACTGTTTTGGAGGCGGATGACCGAAGATTGGAGGCGCCGGTGTCGACGCACAAGAAGCCCCTGGTGACACTGACGGCGGACGGAGAAGAGGAGGTGCACGTCCAGAACAAGGACGTGAGCATGGGTAGTCGAGTATACGGTGCAAACAAGGCGTGCACGCATTCGTTTGCAAGTAGCTAAGCATGATTACTTCATGCGACCAACATTTTTTTAATGTCACCTAATTTTTTGGGGGCAACGCGGGGATAATTCTCAGCGTAGGTGATACAGATATCCTTGAAACGACATACTACAGCTCACCTTGGTAAATACTTCATTTACCGCCCTGCAGGGAGGAGAACTGGTGGTCCGCAAGTACGAGGCCCGCATCACAACCTTTTGGGTGGCCTTTGAAATAGCGCTTTGCAGCATTATGATGGCGTGCCTGGTGACACTGTTCGTATATTCCATAAAGACGGCAAGCAGGGCGCCCATTGAGTCGAGGTAGGCTTGGGGGTCAGGAGCGGATAGAGAGGTTGAGGGGTTCAGTAGCTGTGCCAGCATGATAACCGTGTGCAGCTGGTTTGATGTTTTTAAAAGCCATCGACCATGCAAGCTTACTTCCTGACCCACTAAAGACTTTGCGGAATCAAGTCCGTCAATATCCTCGCTCCACCTAACTTGCTGTGTCCGGGTGCGTGCCAGGTACGATGTGTACGATGCCCCGAAGTTCGCTCAGACACGTTTCTTCATGTTGCGGCGTAACAACGCCACCTCCACGGTGACCAATTCCACCACGGACCCCTCATCCGCCACACCTGGTCCCGGGGACGCGTTTCGGTGGGCAGTCCCTGAGGACCCCAGCGGGCTGCAGCAGGTGGCTGGCATGCATGACGGAGTAAGTGCTTAAGCCGCTACAAGTTTTTGAGCTCCCTACTGGAATTAATCTTAGTTGGCTTTTAAGGACCTGTACGCTCTGGCCACGAGAATTTGAGTTCATGTCGCACTCTGCTTCACCTACCTCCCTGGCTGGAGCTACTACCTAGCAGGATATTTTAACGGTTTCGCTGTCATTTGCAGATTAACGCCATGCGTGAGCTGTGGGCGCTGTACAACACATTGCAGGTGTGTTTGATCATTACACAGGTTACTGCAAGGGCTAGCTGTAGTCGGCAGGGTTTGTAACTTTGCCTGTTTCGTTCTAATCCATTTAAATATGATATTGGGCTCATCCAAACCCATCCCGCCGTATGTGCCCATCCCGTTTGTGCAGGGCATTGTAATGGTGCTTCTAATCATGCGCTGGGTGCACCATCTTTCCTTCCAGCCACACCTCTCCGTCATCGCCGGAACCCTAGCGCGTATGCTTCCTGACCTGGCTACGTTTGTGGTCACAATGATAATCGTCCTCGTCATGTTTGCCAGCCTGCTACAGCTCATGTGGGGCAATGCATCCCAGGAACTGTCGACGATATCAGATGCATTAATTTGGGCGTTTTCGTACAGCATTAATGGTGCTGGGTCCGACACCCTGAACGCGGTTGTCATGAACGTGAGTGTGTGGTTGGCCAGCACTGGAACCTTCTTAAATTAATAAACAACACTAATTGGTGGTTGTGCTGCCACGCTCTTACTAATCCTGCACAGTTAGCTTGCCGTCCTTCCATGTTGAGGGCAGCCATAACCTTCATGTGATCCAACTGTACCGGCGGTGTTACTCAACATCCGCATGCTATAACATAAACGTGCACAACCTAGCAGTGTACGAGCTGTGCCTCCTATCTGTTCTTGCCGGTGATGCTGGCTCCTCCTTATACTTTCCCCATGCATGCAGCCCGTGAACCAAGCAAATGCAGTGTACATCGCTCTGGGGTGGACTGTCTGCATTTGTGGTCCATTACTCTTTTACTTCACGTTAATCAACTTCATCCTCGCACTGCTGTTCTTCCCATTCGCCCACCTCAAGGTAGGTTTGTGACCACAGGCGGGGCAATGTGTGACCTACCGTATGACTGCAAAGGTACTTTCCTGGGTGTCTCCTCCATGTTGTATACGGTTTTCGGAGAAGTGGCTCTTGTAACACGAACGGCACATGTACAAGCATACATAGAGTGTCGCACATGCATGGAACATCAGAGACTTCACATTGCATCCGCCATCGGTCTGCTTCTGCCCACACAGGCTGCTGTCAAGTACGAGCCATGGGTATGGGAGCAACTACGCCGACTGTTTGTGTGGTACTGGCAGGTGGGTTATAGCTTTATTTGCTAGATAACACCAACTAACCCGGCCATTTCACGAGCTGCCTTGAGAACAGCATGTACGTATCCCATGCATGGGGACAGCCTAACCTAACCACCACTTTGCCCAATTCCGTCTTGTATACAGTGTCTTATCCGCAAAGCTCCAGGAAACAAAGACATGGTGAACCTGGTGGCCCAAATGCTGCGACGCGAGGTTCTAAGCTCATCCAGGGCGATCTTCAGCCACCTAAGGATTAGTCAACGTGCCAAGCAAAAACCCTTGGCAGATCCGTATGATGACGTGGGCGCCAAAACTCCGGGGCGGGACTTGGGCCCTGGTAAACATTTTAGCAGGTGCGGGAGGCTAGGGTAGTAAACCTACTCGTGACCGTTAAGGGAAATGTATTGACCTTATCGACCTCTTCATACCCCAATCCAACCGCACTGGCATGCCACGTTGGCAACGGCTAACAACTGCCGCTACTGTGCACAGGGCTGCTCGTATTAAAGTTAATGGCGAGGATGTCAGCGCGCTGCAACTGGAGGCGATGCTTCAAGCGTTAAGCAGCCGCCACCGTCAGGACCCTGGTCATCCCAAGGACACCAGCAGCCAGCAGAGGGCCAAGTCCTTTTCTTCCCTGCTGGTCTCCCCATTCACAACATCCTTCGCCGCATCGGCCTCATCACCATCTCCTTCGTCCCGAAACTCCTTTCTTGTGGCCATGGTGGCTGCACAGCTGCTTCAGAGGTTGGGCAAAGCGCCTACCCATGACGATGCGGACAGGATAACGCCGCATGACGGCGAGGTGGAGCAGGCAGGAACACCTGATAAGACCGTGTCTGAGACGGACGTCAAGCTGTATGCAACGCCGTTGGTAGTAAAGGTCAGGCCGGGACCTGTGGCAGAAGGCTTTGGGGCGTCACCTGAAGAGTTCAATGCTCAGGAGCAGGAGGTGCACCTTCCTGCCAGCAGGCGGGTGTCCAAGGCAGTTTCCTTTGCTGCTAAGGGCAACGACATCATGGCATCAGCCACAATGTGGAGCACCCGCTTTGCAGAGGGGGACGTCCTCCTGCCTGGCAGCGCCACACCATCACCCGCAGTGCTGGACCCAACATCCGATGGTTTGATGCCAGTCGTCACTGCTAGGATTACTATGAAACCTGAGCCTGGTGACCAAGGCGAAGGGAATGTTAGCGGCGATGGTGAGGCTTGGAAGTGTGGTGTAGGAGGATCACCTCTCCTGGCCGCCGCTGGTCATGCTGCAGACGGCTCGGCCCGACCGCATGCAGCAGCACGTCTTGGCGCATCCCTTTCTGGACAGACACCTGTTCCCCTAGCGAGGAGGGCGTCGCAGGGCACCTTGACGTCTAATTTTGAGAGGCTCTTGCAGCAAACACCGCCTAGAGGGCGGCTGCTGATGCACTCAGGTGTTGGAGGCCATGTTCCTCCTTCCCAGCAGGCCAGTTTGCAGCCAGCGGTTTACAACCGTGTTTCAGCTTGGTCCTGTGGCGGTGCAGCAGACAGCGAGACGGACCACACTGCTGCACGAGTGCAGCGCCTCCTGAGGAAGGTCGGCAGTCGTTCTTCATCGGTGGTTTTCCCGCAGCGCGGGTTGCAGGCGCCGCTGGAAGGCCAGGCTGTAAACTCCGTCGAGGCAGATCTGGCCGGCGGCAGGGAGCTGGAAACCGTCACCACAGCACCACCACTTGGGGATGGCCCCAGCGGCCAGCTGGGACAGCTGGACACGTGTGGAGCAGCCTGGATCAACTCTGTGGAACCGGTCATGGACCAGGAGGGTCAGGCAAAGCATCCCGAGCAGCAGCAGGAGAAGCAGCAGCAGCAGCAGCCGCAGCGGCCGTTGTGGCAGCAGTTCCTGCAGGAAAAGCCGAGTGGTGATTTTGTAGCGCCGTTTGTTCCTCCGCAGCGAAGATGGGGCGCATTGTTGGTGGCTGCCGCTAGCAGTGCTGCTGCCAGCGTGAACCCGAGTACAAGCTCTCCATCGCGTCTTAGCGTGGTGTCCACAGCAGTTCCACCCATGAGTGCGCTTAACACCGATTCAGCAGGCCGCCAGCAGCCAGGAGGCACCGGACGCTCAGTGACACCTTTAGAAGATACAAACGGTGTTGCATACTCGGAGCGGCTCGAGTCATTTTCAGCACCGGAAGACCAAGCCATTGCACAAGGGTCCAAGCCACTGCAGCAAGTGAGCATGATTCATCAGATGCGGCCACCAGCAGTGCCTTGGGTTGGCGACAGCGACACCTTCAGACGTGTTGCTGCAGCCGCCGCTGCTGTTGGCATGGTCTCCATTGTTCTTTCAGCTGTCCAGGCCTTGTTGCAGCAGTACGAGTCCCTACGTGTGGAGCAGGCGTCACTGCAAGAGGAGCAGCAGCAGCTGGCTGATAGCATAGAGCATTTACTGCGTTTAGTCCTGCTAAGGCGCATTAGGAGGTGGCGGTTGAGTAGGCTTCGGAATTTATCTTGCAAGTAAGATTGGTAGCTGCAAACCCTTCCATCTATGTTCGTGGTGACTTTGGGGGAGGGGGGTAAGTACCTTTTGCGATGTGAGGTTATTACCAAATGCGTGGCTTTTGCGCTGTACGTGCTGTTTGCTCTGTTGCTGGTTTATGTTGGGCCTGTCCTGGCTGTTGGTAGCAAACCTATGCTGCAGTGCCGGTCAACAACCATTGTGTGTTTAAATTTCTGGCCGCGAGGCGAAACGTACTGTGACAACCATTGTGTGTGCGCCCTATGTCGGGATAGCAGGAGTTTCTTACACCTTCAGCGATGCAATATGTGCACACGGACCTCCGGTCAGTTGTTTGAGTGGCTGGCTTTGGTTCTGTGTTACCGGGTAATGAGCGCCATTGTCATGTGTCTCGGCGTACCCGTTTCTTAGTTCATATGCATTATAATACACAAAGGGCAAGCGAAAGGTTGGTGGAGTAGCCGTGGGTGTTGCTTTTTCATCCGCACAGAATGGTTTACGTGTGCCTGAGAGTGCAGAAGAGATACAACCTTCAAGCCACTCGAATATGGTTGGCTTGCTTCTTGAAGAAAGGCAGCGGCAGCTGCACAGCACCGTATTAATTTATACAGATTGTCCGTATCCATGCTCTCCTTAGGTAGCGGGGTTCGTTCGCTGGAAGGCGGGCATTGGGGGGTTTCCGCGTGTGATTCGCTGCTCACCGGGTGCATTCGATTTCATGTGTTTCCTGCCTTGAAAGAAAGGTAATACCTGTCTTCTGGTATGACAATTGTTTCTGTTTTTTGGCCTGCCCTTGATTCTAGACGCTCCGCCAGGCCGCGGCTTGGAAGCAAGGGAACAGCCTTAGTGAACACCCCGGCAAATTGTAGAGAATTTAGCGTGAGCTTTTTGGCATCTTTTTCGTGCAAAAGGTTTGGAATTTGAATGTGTATATGCAAGTCACAAAGGCAACCTGCGATGTGGCTCCAAGTCAAGAACGATTGTTATGAGTAGAGAGGAGTTTCTAGCTGCAGCGTTCGTCACATAATCAATGCACACGTGTTTGTTGTATTGTGATGTTAAAATAATGATGTGTATATGGGTGAGCAGTGATATTGGCCTGTGTCGTACAAAGTACAAAACAAGTTACAAAAAAGAGGCATTAAGCGCATGTCGATAGCTTGCTACACGTTGGTATCCGTTAGGTTGTTGTCGCGGTAAGGCCAGCAGCGTAGTTTAATAGGGCCGACACCAATGGCTTCGGTTTTGCCTTCCTTACTCAATACACACAATGGCCACGGAATGCATGAAAACATATGAAGTTGACGCTCTGTGTAAAGCAGCCGAGACTATTGCTTCTAGCGGACTGAAACTTACTGCCAAGCTATTGCATAACGAAGTGTGCTCCGACACGCGCTTGAAGGGCTTGACGTATAAACAAGCCTTACAAACTATCGTGGCTACTGGGAAGGAAGCGTCGCCAAAGACATTGCTGCAGGAAATGGGGCGGCCCAGTATCACTGTAGGCATGGTGCGGAATCGACTGCGGAATGAACAAAGTCAAAAAGGAACGGTCGCTCATAGTGAACTGTTTGAAGGTAACCACTGTTTCGCTGACGACATTGCTCCATCGCACAAACAAAGGTGACAATGTTCCAAGCAGTGCTCAAAAGGAGAGCGGTATGGGTACGTTGTTTATTATGAGTGCATTTCAGAAAAGGTGCTGGAGGAATGCTGCACCGAAGAGAGCGTACCACTGAATACTAGCCCAACATGCTCTGAATGCCACCCACAAACCCCTGCCCACATAGAAGAAGACAACTTTGGCGACGAGGCTCTGCCAGCATATGACAAACGCAGTGGAGTGCAGAGGTGCACAAACACTACAGTTGAAGCAGCAGAGGAAGCCTGCAGATCTCCATCCCCTCCCCTCCCCTGCCAAAGCTTGGATCCCAAACTCAGCCTCTCTGGATGTTATAGCCTCCACGGTTCAATACACTTTTCCTATGCAAACCATGCCACCGCCCTGTCCTCCCCACCCCTACTTTCCTGTTGCCTTACCTTTCCTCGCTTTCCTTTCACCACCAACCCTGTTCTTGCTTTCCTATCCCTTTCCCTGCCCACGCCATCCTTTAGCTTCCATGCCTTTATTGTTCTCTCCCCGTGACTCCCCTTGCCAACCCATTCCCACCCCATCCCTGTGCTCGAATGAGGGTGACAGCGAGGGCAACTGATACCTAGGACCGTGCGTCAGTTACTGTGCACGCCTATGATACCCTCGAGTTGCCAACGCAATTGCAACCCTACTTAACAAGACGGCTTGCCCCTGAGGGCCGCAGACGCCGGGCTTGCTGGTGCAATATGCCAATTCGCACTATCCAGGCATGCCCCTCGACGCTGTAAACGCCTCCCTCATATGACCCTACGCAGCCATCTGACCCTCCCAAACGGGACACCCATGCGCCACTCTCCTAAGCAGCCTCGTCAGCCCCCCAGCCCGCCACCTTACCCACCCAAGCATGACTCCCACACACCGCCATCATAAGCAGCCGCAAAAACGCACTAAACCACCCCACCACACCGTCACCCCCCCCTGCCGCACACCCGCTTGGGCAGGCCACGAGATCGCTTCGGTCTGGTTCAACAGTGGCAACCCCTAGCCGGCGATAAAGAGCCACAGACGTGGTTTGAGAGTTGGTTGTGCACGCTGAATTTATAAGCATACCATAATCAATATTGACCGGTGTTTTGTTGCATGCCTGATTGTCTATGCCATGATCAGCTGCTGTGCATGCCTTCGTAGTGTGTAGGTTAACAATCGTTGCCTAGTGTGCAAAACGTCATGTTTGCATATTCGGAATTTCCCACGCATTGCTGTGTGCATTCGGTCAAAATTATATTGTATCCGTACGAGCCAGGGGAGGCCAAGAACTCTATGAGAAAATGTTGGGCAGATTGCAAACCCTAGAATCATGGGGTCTGCCCTCGCGTTTACGAACTTTCCCCCTGCTGCTGCTGTAAATGTTATGGTATTTCAATTTTCGCTCACTTCACTAGACGACGTCGGCACACACTGACAACCAACCCGAATCACCATTCGCTTCCGCCAGGTAAGTGCTCAAACCAACCGCACCGTGCAACGCTCATGCGTAGGGCTAACGCGTTTAGTTAAATTGTTGGTGCACTCATCGTAACAGGGACACGCATTTTAGCAACCCTTATCTTACCGTACAAGCCAAATATATAATAGTGTACGTTCACTGACAAGATTACATGCGTTAACAATACCACCAGTCACTTTCATAATTCAGTTCGTCTTTCCCTTACCTGCTCTACAACCCCAACATGCTTGTATTGTAGTTCTTTCACAGTGGAGGGTTGCGTTCTTCACACACCCGTGCTCCCTATAGAATTGGGAAACCATTCTAACGGTCACTCAACCATGTAAAACACCAAAGCCGGTATGCCGTATGCGGTTAGTATTCGTCAAGGAAGTACAGCGAAAGCAAGCTATAATAGTCCAATGCAATCCAAGTCACCAAGCCATGCAATACGCTCTAGGCCCATTCCAACCTCGCATGCAAACCCAGTGCTACAGTCAATGCTGAAGGGCAGCGTAGGCCTATCCATCCCCCCTCTCGCTACGCGCAACATCCATGGACCGAGGCTGCGCTGTCTTGTCGCCTCTAGCCAAGACTCTTAGGACACCGCCGCCGGCCCTGCTGCCGGCCCCCAGGGCGCCCCATCCGCCCTAGCGCCCATAAGCCCCCCCATCCTGTTGCCCGATGGAAGGCGTCTCAGGGAAGCGAACATAGGTGTTTAGGACGTGCAGCCCCGGTAACCTGCGCACAAGGCGGGAGGAGGCGAAGTCGGGATATGGAAGGACAGAACGAGATGAATGACAGGTGGGCAAGGGATACAGTACGACTGCCGCTAAAGGTAACCGGCCCTTCCACTCACATCATGTTATGGGGCATTTCCCGACTTCGTCCCCTCAAACCCGCACACGAATGACCCTCCCTTCTCGTCATCGGCATGCCCTCACCCTCACCACCCACACACCCTCGCCCACACCTGCACAACACCCCATGCAACACCTCGCCCTCCCAGTCAGGCGGCGAATCCCTGCCGGCCGATGTCGAGGGCAGTCGAAACGTCAGCCTTAGCAAGGGCATGCCCCCCTCGTACTCGCACGCGCCGGCCGACCGGCCCACCAATTCTCTCGCTCTGTGCAACATCCGGCCTGCGTTGCATGCGTCCCCTCGGCACAATCCGCGCGGCCCACTGCTGCCACTGCTTTCATGGTTGCGGCAGCCGTTGCTACTTTTAGCACTGCTGCCAGGGCTGTTGCCAGTGCTGGTGCTGTTGTTGCTACCAGGAGTGTTGCTAATGCTGGTCTGGGGGCCGTCAGCTCCTGGGGGCATAGCGCCTTGCGGCGCGTGAAACGGTTGGGGTGTCGTCATCACAACGGAAGCAGCGGCAGAGCCTGCTGAGCCCGAGTAGGGGCCGTAGGAGGCTCGACAGGTCCGAGCCGTCCTGCTGTCTGGATGCCCGGAGGGAGCTTGCGGTGGCCGCGTTTGCAGCCGGGTTTGTAACTGTGGTCGCAGCACATGCCATTGTGTTCCTTCAGGTGTCCCCGCCCCGGCTGCTGCAAGCTGCTGCGCTGTGTCTTCAAGCTGCCCTAGCACACCCACACTGGAAACAGGTTGGCGGGGTGCTGCCTGCTGGTCCCCCCTGACCTCACACACGTCGTCCTGAGCCTGTTGCTGCTGTGATTGCGGAACACCCACCGCGCGGCGTGGGATGGCAGCTAAAGCAGTTGCGGGTGGTGCGCGTGTCCGTGTGGGCGAGAGTGGTTGCGGAGGCAGAGGGGCCACAGCGACGGTGGCCGCCGCAGCTGCCCCCGTCACAGCAGGAACTGGAGCAGAAGCAGACACAGGAGCAAGAGCTCTGCTAGCGGCTGATCCTGAGGCTGCTACCGCTGCTGCTCCTGCTACAATGGCACAGTAGTGGTCCTGGGCGTCCCCGGCTACATCGGCGGTGACACCCGGTGGTTGGCCAGCAGGGCTGGTTTCTATCTGACCCGCAAGAGCTTGAGGTGGATGCGGAAATAGGCGTGAAGCTGGTCGAGAAGTTGCTGGTACGGCAGGGATGGCTGGTTGTACGGCAACTGAGCGGCCAATCCCGGCTGCGGTTGCAGCTCCTCTCCGCACAACGCTGACGCCTGAGGCATGGGTGGTGGCTGCGGAAAGGCACGCGTTCTCGGGCTTCTGGCAACGTGTGGAAGCAGCGCACTGGGGGCCCTTCATCCGCTTCCTGTTATTGGTCGGGGCTGTTGTCCACCAAGCAGGTCCTGACAGCAAGCGGCCGCACGCGTGGAATGCAGGCCGCAAACAGGAAGTCCAGAACCAGGCCCGGTAGCGGGAGTAGGCGCAAGCGGCCATGCTGGCGAGGATGGAATTGACCGCTACATGGATTAGATGTCCGTGACCCATTGGAAGCAGAACTGGCTCCTTGCTCCGCAATGCCAAGCAGCTGATAGCCGTTCCCACAACGGTGCAAGCCGAGTAAAATGTCACAAAGCCCAGCGGTAACTGCGGGAATAACCAATGGGGCAAACAATGAGAAACACGTACTGGTACAGGAGGCCCGTCGCCCCACCCAGTCCAGCCCTGTCCTCACCGTGAAAAATGCAGCGATGAGAGGACCCGTAAACAGGATTGGAAGTATATGTATGGCATGCGTTGTTATTGTTGCTGGACCCATGAGCCACAGTAGGGCACCAGGCAGCACTGTGTCGTTCAACACCATAGCCGTGAGGTAGGCAAAGGCAACTTGACGTCTCCATCGCCCTGAAGCAAACCCAAGTAACCAGAGCGCTAGGAAAATGAGGGCAAGCGATAAGGCCAAAAGCATCGGTAACTCGGCCACTGGCGACGACGTATAGACCCCAAGCACTTGGCGAAGCCGCGGCACAAGGTATGCAAGACGCTCTGTTGTAGCCGCGTCGCAGGGGTAGCCTTCAAGTTGTGCCAACGCGGGCAGTATGTGCGAATGCGCTCTTCGTGCCTCCGCACACTCGGTGCAACAGGACACCTCCCTAACACATTTGCCTACATGGCTAAGGAACTCGGCAAAACAGGTTAACGTGACAAAGAGAGTGGCATTCACCAAGACAGCATCCGAGTTGGTAAGTGCTTGCGACGGCTTGGATACCATTTAAAAAAACTGATGTGCTCTTGCTTAACATCTTCATCTATGAACTCAGCGTCCAAGTTACGGTTTTACAGGATGGCCGTGCTGCTCGTCCAAGCACAAGGCAGTTGTTACGGCGACAAGTTAACCCTTGCCATTGCAGCTTTCTACGCCCGAACTAGCGTGGAGTGCTGCAGCCGTCTGTGGAGTTTTTGTCGTATGCATCTCGGTGGGGGAAGGGGCTGGTGCCACAACCTCCAACACACCTCATAACTTGCAAGGCAGTTTGCAAGCTGCCTGCTCAGCCCCGCATTTGAGGCGCATCATCCCAGAAGGCCACATTTTAGGAATTGCCCGCATGAATGAGCACCAAGCATACCACGTGCCGCGCGCCTAAACACCTGAACGGCTCCAAAAGGTGGATACGGCTACCAGTTCCATTACCCAAAGCCTTCAATGGAGATCACTGAGCACTCTGGAAATTGCAAAGAAACATGGGGGCAATTAAAGCCTGCTAACAAACGTGTTAACATGAGAATATATCTACTGGCATATCCCGAGCTGCCTGGCGCAATCACAAGTGCAGACCAGAGGGGGAGAAAAATTGCAACTGCATGCCAGAGGGTTGCCTCTATGTGGGTAGTGACCTAGAAGGCTAAGACCTCCTCACGGCATGCAGGCATCACAGGCCCTTCTCCTGGGCCCCTGGCTCCAATACTATGGTCTAGTTTACTGTTACCCGTACCACTACTGCTACTACCAATGTGCCTTTCGTAAGAATATGTCTCCTTAAATAACACAATCCCCAGGGACAGTTAATCACTGCTGCCAATAGCGGCAAAGGAAAAGGAATTCATGCATTGCTGCACTCGCAATTCCGCTAGCATGAAAGGCGTCCCAATCCTACCGAAACTAAACGCATTCAACAACGAAACCCATCACTCCCAAACTAACGAGTGTGGCTGCTGTGATAGCTGCGCACTCCACCTCCCTCCTCTTCTCGTACCCGCCCCCGCTGCTTCCGTTCCACGCTCAGTTTTTTTTCCGATGTGGACTGTGCCCTTCTACCGCTGCCACCATCCCTCCTTCAACCCACAACATGGGCTCCCTCCGCCCCCTCCGCCACCACTGTGTAATTACCCATTACAGAGTCCGCCGGGGTGAAACCTCTGATGGTCGCCATGCAGAAAGGGCACCGCGGCGGCGGTGCGGCGGCGCCGCCAGCCGACAACCCCCGACCCGTCCTTGATGACGTCATCATCGGCCGCCCCGCCGCCGTCACCTGCCTGCCGTACAGCTGCACCACCCGCCGGCTGCACTGCGCACACAGGCGGTGGCTGCAGGGGCGCAGCGCCAGGTCTGAAGGCAGCTCGAAGCACACGTCGCAAGGCGGTAGCGGGGCGGCAGCAACTGCGAGACTACTAGCAACCGTTGTGCGACTGCCCCCGGGGGTGGTCGGCGATTGCGGTGAGGTCGCTTGCGGGTGTGGCCCCGGGGATGTGCAGTGGAGCGGATACGAGACAGTGGCAGTTGTCAACGCCGCTGCGGGTGCGTTTGCAGCGGTTTGGACGCCGATATCCTCAGCAGCAGCAGCAGCAGCAGCCAGGGGTGGCTCTGACGCTCCTGGCAGGGAGCTCCGCGATGTTTTCGAACAGGCGGCTGCGATGCCGCCCGCGACACAGCCGTTGCCATCGCCGTCATCGCCCGCGATCATTTTGATGCTGCCCACGACGCCGCCGCCGCTTCCACCAATCGCTAAACCCCGAGCCCCATGCTCCTCCTCCTCACCCCGCTCCATCCCCCTCCTCCCGCTCCGCTGCCCCTCGCTGCAACGCCGTACAGCGCTCTCCGCCGCCGCCACATCCGCCAGCAACTTCTCGACCCAGGCTTGCGCCGCCATCAGCTTCAGCGGCGGCGGCCCCCTACCCCCGCCCCCGCTGGCCTCCCCTGCGCCGGCGGCGTCAGGCAGCGGGAAGAGGCTGGCCAGCCAGGCGTGGCTGCTGGGGTCCCCACTGGAGAGCGAGGAGGTGCCGCCGACCGCCTCGGAGGGGTCCAGCGAGATGAGCAGCTGCGCCACGTGCCAGTGCCCCGCGTTGCTGGCCAGCATGTACGGCTGGAACCTGCGGTACGGAAGTACGGCAATGGGGGGTTACCTGCTGCGACAAATTGGGCAAATATGTGCGAGGGGAACGGAAACAGGGTGCTTGACAGAAGGTTATGGCCTTGAGCTCTGGCATTCCGCGCGCACGCAATCGGGCCTTCATTTGACGCATCATGACGCAAACGTGACAGCGACTATGGCCAGAACTCTGCTCGTTTTGCCATTGAACGCCCGCCAACCGCCAACCGCAGCCTGCTGGCCTTCTGGCCTGCTCCCAACAAGGTTACTACCGGTACGCAATCCCCGCAGCCACGAGGACCTCTCGGCCTTGCGTTAGCCAGTGCGTCACATTCTGCCGTCTGCCGCTCCTGTGCAACAGTGTCCCCGCCCGCGTGCCCTATCAATCTACCCACCCGTTCTTATCCAGCTGTCTGCGCGGGTCGGTTCGCCGTTCCCGGGCTGCACGCGACAGCCCCGCCATGTCCGAGTGGTAGCGCCTGGAGGGCAGGAGGGAGAAGCAGCAGAAGCGGGGGGTGCCGGTTAGGGAGGAAAGGCGGAAGGCAAGAACAGCGCCTCATGCAGCTGTCCTTCAGTATTTGGCATCCCAGGGAATTAGGCGAGTGTGAGTGCCCTGGCTCTGTCGACACAACACCGCCACATCCTGAAACCCGCTTCCCGTGCACTGTCCTCGCCATGACGCACCGTGCACGGACTTGCCTTGTCCCCTCATGCATGTCCAATGAACCCGCTCGCAGCAGCAGCTCAACCCCCTCCACCGCACACATGCAGCCCAGCATAGTCCCGCAGCTCACCGCAGCAGTAACGCCACCATATGGAAATCCCCTCGGCGAGATGCCAGGTGGAGGGGCGAGGAGCGCGCGGCGTACAGGTAGGAGGAGGAGAGGAAGCCGCCATCGCCACTGCTCTTGCTGCTAGAGCCACTGCAGGTGCGATTCCAGATGCCGCCGCTCCTTGCAACCATGGAGCCGCTAAGGACGCGAAGGCGCGAGGGAAGGTGGAGGAGGAGGGAGGAGGCGCTGCGGCCGTGGGGTGAAGTGAGGAGGTTGAGGCGGAGCGAGACCGCTGGGTTGTACGGCAGGTGGCTAGAGGCAGTGTACGACGCGCCGGCTTCGAGCAGTACGATGGCCACGTCAGCGTGGCCGGCGGCTGCGGCGTAGTGCAGAGGCGTGAAGCCGTACCGGTCCTGGTGTTAGGAAGATCCCAGTAAAGGGGAGATGGGCCCAGGCGGTCACAGGGACGGGCCAGTCAGCTAGGAGGGACTGTCTGAAGCCTCCAACAGGCTCCAACATACTTCCATAACCAAAGTTCAGAAATGTTCGACAGACTCGAGCAAGTGTATGCATCTCCAAACATTGCGACAGCCGCCATAAGGGCCGCTAGCATAATTCTTTGCCAAGGAACGGAACAGCCCTTAACCGTAGACCCATCCTAGCGTGAACGGCGTGCATTATCGTGCGCTTTCTCCTTACACACCTGGACGTCATAGAGGGCCTTGCGTGGGTCTGGCCCGGTAACCGAGCTTCGAAGCAATGCTGCGACAAGGGGTGCATGGCCACTCCATGCCGCCACATGTATTGGAGTAAGGCGCGCGCGGCTATCGCACAACCAGGGGTCAGCATCCATGGCCACTAGCCGCTCCACAAACTCAAGGCGATTGCAAAGCACAGCCGTGGACAGGGGTGTCCGACCGTCGGCACCCTTGGCGTTCAGCCATGATGATACTAAGGTAGCATCGTCGACCGCCAAAGCGTTGCCACCGCCAATACTAAACGTTTGACCATTACGCAAAAGAGCCTGATTTGGCGCTTGCTGGAATATCGGAATCGCTTGCTGGTTTTGAGTTCCATGCAGCGTGGGGACGCGAAGAACTTGAGAATTCGGGCGGACGCCGGTAGCAACGAATTCTGATCCCAAGAGGTCCAGAATTTGTGTATGTCCGCGCTGTGCGGCGCCGTGCATTGCGTGTGTCCTTGCCGATGGTTCAACGAACCTAATATACGACGGGCACTGGCTTGCAAGATCCAGAGCCGTTGTGTAGTCCCCTTTCCGCAAAGCCGACAGAAATTGAGCCTGACGGTCTGCCTCCAGGGCACCAGAGTTTGATAAGGCTGATGTTGCCACGCCCATGGTTGCAGAACCTTGTCTAGAAAATTGACCTTACAGGCCTTTCCGAAAATTCCAGACTAAACAAAAAGGTGTCTTTTATATGTCAGGTTATGATGTCAGGTTTACAAGTAAGGGTGCGGTAAACAGTAGCGGTTGGGTGTCTGCACGTGAGACTGGTGTATGCAAGAGCTGTACCGTGTGTTCTGACTGCTTGTTAGGGGTGCGTCCAATTCGTATACTTGGAAGGTCAGGGGTCATCATCCTGCATACATGGCAAGCAGGATGACGACCGCTGCCCCAGCTTCGGAGCGAAGAAGGCGTACGGCGGCCCCGCATGAGAGGGTGAGAGGATGGGACTTTACGCTTTCTTCATCTTTCCCTCATTTTTATATTTCTTAAGCTTTGCAATGCCTGGTCTCGCTTCCGGGTCAGCCTCGGTCACGGCAGGTTCGTAAACGCAATGCAAGCCAGTTAACCAGCAAAGGCCCCTAGCTTTCATATGCTATCACAAGATAGAGGTGGATCCCTTCTATGCATCAGGAAAGTGGCGTATCCTCCGTCGCACGCATTTGTCCGAAGCATGGCAAGCGCCCCTCTCCCCACTCCCTTCTCGAACCATATATGTGCTCCCCCACAAGGTCATTTCCCTTTTCATGCATTGTTCTTTCCGTTTATTTTCCCACTTTCACGGTTTAGTTCCTCCCACTTCCTTCCAACCTTACTTCAGCAATCTGACCTACACTCTACACATATATCCCCCCTGCAGAGGTCATCGAAACGCTTCCACATCCTCTCCATGCTTCAAAGTCCCACCCTTTCCTAGACCACCGGCTCCCGCATCTGATCTCCCTGTGACACTATGCATACCTGTTGCACAATCCAACCTTGTGGCCCCCTTGCTGACAAGCACAAGCACTACATACGTACCAGAACCCTATGCCGCGGCAGCGGCTACACTGAGACCGTGAGGTGAAGGATTACGAAGAGTACAAATTTCCTTATACCGGTAGTTCAGGAATGCACGCGATTGAAGGGTCCTTCCAGCCCTGCGCTTGCACAACGCTGGGTAAAGGTCGTCCTTGAGATGCACAGGTGCAAGTGCCAACTGACAAGCGCTGCAGAGTTTCGGACGCTGTGCCCGCCCAAGCATTCCCAACCTAAATGAACCCGGCAAGCCTGCGACCCAGCGCAGAACGAATTGCATGTTCAACAGCCCGTTGCCCATGCGCACAAGTACGACACCACAGAACACAACAAGCCTTTCATCAGGCTCTTGCAGATAACCTGAGGAAGGATGGACAAAGCGACAACACCGTAGCATGCGCAACAACACCAACGAGCATCTGGCATGGCAAGGCTTTATGGCATTTGCTTTGGCATCTGCTTCTAAGTCTGTCGTACCATGTACAGCTTTGCGGCACACCTCACTTGTCGCATCTGCGTCGCACTTGAGTCGTTCGGGCTACCCTGTAGTAATTGCATTCTCATCTGGCCATCCTTATCACATTCTACCTTCGACAGCCAACGACCGGTCCTCCTGTACGCACGGCAAAGAGCACAAGCCGCAGCAGCACGCAAAGCGGTGTGTGGAAGGAGGCTGTGCGAGGTGGTGCCCCATACCGAACCGTTTTCTGGGTATCAGCGCAATTTGTCGCAATCCCACAAGCTGGCTGTTGCCCGACAATGAGCTGCAAGATTACAGTAAGAGGACGTCACCATATGTCGGCTGGACACCACGAAACCCTTATTAGCCAACATACACCATGCCTGTTACAAATCCGTCAACTTTGGGGTGCAGAACAGAAAAGGGAGTCTTGCGAACATGCATACAGAATGCCCCTAACCCCAAAACCATGAAGCCGTTGACGGTTTGCAGTTCCCTGCCTCCTTCCCTGACCTACATGAACTTACCGTAACAGTAATTGGCGGCATTTCGAGGCAGGATACACGGCATGTGCATAACGTACGGTGCATAACTACTACGCCAAAACGCACGGCATATCGCCTGGGAGCAGGTCCACTATTACGACAATAATGAACCACGTCAAGCAGGACGGAACCTCCCCCTGTTGCTGTTGACAGAAGACATGGCAATGCACATTCAACAATGTACGAGCTAGCCCTGCGTCACGGCTTGCAAGTTGTCGCCAAAGGACCATTCCAACAGGCCATACCAGGAATCTGGGTCGGAGACCAAAGGATTGAAACACAGAGCCCAAAAGTTGGGCTGATAGGAGCTAGTCATACCGTCATTCGTAGAATCCAGCATGCCGTTTCACGTCCGGTATGGGACCTCTGACTGTCAAGCACATGAAAATCCAATATCCAGACACCCATAAGCATCCATGCCACGATTCAAGTTCCTAAGGGTTTGCGAAGATCCCTTCCTTCCCACTGCTGCAAAAAACTAGCCGTGGGTCCCTTGCACAAACTCACAGGAAACTGCTCATTCGCACATGCCTGCAGTCAGCAACCACAAACGCGTGCGCAGCTTGTCACGCAGAAAACTGTCGCCCTGCCATCCAGCTGCCGGCGGTAAGAGATTTAGCATCCATTTTATCCATGCACACGCCCATGCGCGATCCACCCATGCACCCGACTACCTAGGTATGTACGAACCGTAACCTGCATACCTTTCTAAAAATATTACGATGGAGATCCTGCCTCCAAAACCTCAATGGGCCAACCCATGGGTCTCTCCATATCCATTCAGAGGAGAGATACGAGGCACAGCTCATGACATGCTTGAATTAAACACACATGGTTAAAACTTCGACTGGACACATTGGGATTCACAGGCGACCCCATATCTGGAAACGACTGCAAATATGCCTTCAGACACAGGCAGCACGTCTAGACGTCCAGGTGTCTTGGAAAGGAAAGCCAAACAAGCGATTCACCGCCGGCGATGCTGTTCCCATCGCCGCACGAATAGACATTACGACATTGAATCTAAAAGCAGAATCCACGGCGCAAAAGACTGCGCTTCATTTGGCTTGTTGGCCCCTGCCACGCATCTGCACTTGTAACAAATGTTTCTTACTTCCATGTCTGCATTGAAGCCAGGATCGACTTGAGCAATTTCGCACTGCATTGTTCTTGCTTTGAAGCAAGAACGTCTCAGCTTAAATTCTTGTGACTTCCGATACTCCAATCTCTTTTCCAGAGCCGTGCAGCCGGCTTCACAAGGAACCAGCTAACTTGCAGCTACTCGCCATCCGCCTGACATGAGCAAAAACAACTCAACAAACAGGCAGGACCCGTCCTAACGTTAACAATCGTTGCCCTTTACCGCCTGACACAAACCCTACGTGAGCCAGATACGGGTAAGATTGGTAGCATCCGACATCACGGATCGCCTCAAAGGGCCTCCTATCACATTTACGGCATTCGCACCAGGACGAGGCAGCAATGAGATGGGAAGAGATATCGGGGTCGGGAAGCAGCAAGGCGTGCATGCAAATTAGCCAAAGGAGGTGCTTAGCACCACAACCGCCAACGACTGAGACACAGACACACCTGCTGATGGCTAACGATAAGAGTTCAACAGCAGTGGCGGTGGACCCGAAAGCGTCCTTCATTAGAAAAGTTCAGGTCGTCTTCATCCAGCAGTCAGCCATCCCGCCGGCAATCCTGGCAAACGCATCCCTTTCTCCCAGGGAGTTTCCAGCACAACCCATGCTGCTCCCGGTTCTTCCTGTCTTTCCGAAATCGCTTCTTCTCACTCATCGCGTTCTCTACGCACCAACAGTGGCTTTCTGGAAATCAACAACGACCACTTACTCGTGTCCCATGGAAAAGATGGGGACCTTTACATGCAACCCAACAACGTCAGCGCCCACCGCGTCCCCAAACCTACTGCTGTCTTTGCCGTCGCTCCTTACATCAGAAGGTTCTCCGATGCGGAAAGGGAGAAGAAAGGCAGACAACAATTCTTCCAAAAACTATGTATGCGGGCATCTTGGTAGACTTGCAACAAAATGACAGCAGCTAGTTGGCCCACAAGACCCAACCCCTCCCGTCTGAAGCGTCCCTCAAGTCCCCAACACACGAAAGCCGCCCTGCCCCTCTCCCGCCCTGCCCCCGCCCTGTCTGTGTGTTTCCTGTGCCCCCGCTTCGGAAAGTTTCAAGCATGCGTTGTACCATCGGACGTTCGGATCAATCAGATTGCAACATCCATTCAACGGGGGATTTCTAGGCACCCAGGTGTTTCCTACTATCCTTCGTAGCGTGCATGGTATTTCCTCTCCTCCTCTCCCCACTTTGACAAGAGTTTCATGCAGCGGACTAGCCGGCACCAGCAGCGGCTGCGGTGGCCCAGCTGCAGGGGTATAGCACCCGTCATGACCACAGACATTTGCGATTGTGGCCGCAGAGCCCTACGCACCTTGCTGACTGCCGCTTGCTGGCAACTCCACCCCACGCCCTGCTGCCCCTGCTGCTGTTGCTGCTGCCAAGACAGTCGCCCCTGCTCTTACATGGCTGCTGCAGACACTGGCCATGCAGCTGGCTCCGCCGCCGCAACAGTTGTCACAGCCCAGGCGCGTACGCCTCGCCCGTTGCAGCACTTCAGCCACGACACTAACCTCCGTTGCTGCTATCCATGCTGTCGCTACTGCAGTTACCTCTGGTGTTGCGGCGTCTGCTGCTGCTACCCATGCTGCCGTTACTGCTGCGGCGGCGATGGCTGCTGCTGCGGCGGCGATGATGGCTGCTGCTGATGCGGCTGCGGTGTTGGCGGAGGGAAGGGCCGCAGCCATACGTGTCCCGCCAGCTGTTGCGCAGTAGGCCTTTCCTCAGGTCGCTCCGCCAGCGCCATGCTGATGAAGTCCCTCGCAGCAGCCGAGGTGGACGCGGGGAAGCTAAGCGTCTTGCAGCTCGCATTCGCGGCCAGGAAGGCCTGAGCGGCGGCGGTTGCGTCGGCGGCGGTTGGGGCGATTGCGGCGTCGCCGGCGGCGTCGGGGTCGTTCCGTTGGATGCGACTGCGGCTGTGGGCGAGTGCACGCGCGGCGGCGGCAAGGGCGAGGGCGGCCTCGCCCGGGCCCTGCGGCGAGGCGGCGACTTCCGCGGCGGCGGCGGTGACGGCGGCGTCGGGTGTGACGACCGGCGGGAAGCCCACGAGAAGCTCGTAGGCCAGGACACCCACTGCCCAGACGTCCTGAGAAGGTGAGGGAAAGGTGGGTGGGTACATTACGCTTTTTGGCTGCATGCGTTGCGCGTGAGTATGTGAGCTCGCGGCCAGTTTTCATAACACACTCATGAAAAGCGTACGACCAACGCGTTCATTCGGGGGAAGGTTATACCAAGCGCGCGTACCCCCCAACACGAATGCTGAAGCCAGGTAAGGAGGTCTCTGCCGTCAGGACTGCCCCTGCTCCGAGTTTCCTGCTGGCGCAACACCAACCCTCCTTACTCCCTGTCTCTCTCCCCATTTCCTGCCCGCTCTCCCGAAGATACGTTTCCTCCTTCCCACCTCCTACACCCCGCTTCCTCCCTTCCCCTCCCTCCCGGCCTTACCACCGCGGTGGTGTATGCCAGCTCCTGCTTGTCTTTGTTGTCCCCGGGCAGCACCTTGAGCGGGCAGCGCTCCACCTCGGGAGCCATGTACTCCACTGAGGGGGAGGAGGGGGGTCAAAGATAGAACAGAAGATAGGAAACCACAAGTTAGGGCAGAAAACGGGGAAAGCTAGGACGAAAGCTTCGTACGCGCGCGCCACAAGCCAACGGGGTACCGCAGGATTTGTAGAGCTGTAGGCAAACTGGGAGTGTACGGCGGCGCAATCCGGATGTATGTGTGCACGACAACTGTACGACAGACTCACATGTTCCGGCCCTGGTCACGGCTCGCTCCTGTGTGACGTTGATGCTGGCTCCGAAGTCGCCGACCACTAGCCGCCAGTCGTGGGTGAACAGCAGGTTCTCGGGCTGCGGAGGCAGACAGCAGTTGCAGTCATGCAGTACGGATTAGTTGCTCTTCAATGTTTTCCAGCTACCACGCGCAGTCCGTAGGCACGTGTTCGCATACGGCACGCAGCTGGTGAGCTACTCGCTACTACACTACGACCCGCTACTCGCAGTTGGCTAGCTCAGTTGCTAGGGTGAGCTGGAAGCAAGTGATATAAACGAGGAAATGCAGGAGATAACGAAGTCCTGCATGCATGCTACCCATGCTCTCGTATGACACCCGCGTCTCAACCCCTTCAACACACCACCCAGACCCTGAACATCCCTCACCTTGATATCCCTGGACGTTGGAGAGGATGAATGGTGGTTGAGGTGGTTGAGGTGGAGGTGATGAGTGAAGGTCGGCGGCGGGCGGGGCGGGGCAGAGAACACGCCGAGGTACAGTGCAGAGAGCAGGGCAGGGAGGAGACGGGGCGCGGTCAGTAGGGAAGTACGAAGGGGCTCCATCACAAGCCTCGCACCACACGACACGACACTTCATACAATGACAGCTCGTGGGCACAATACTACGTTGCCTACACCTGTTGCCCTTTTAAACCCCTCTCCTCTTCCCTTCCCACCTCGTCCCACCTGTGGTGGACTCTTCCCAGCCCCCCCCCACCTGTGGCACACCCCCCTGCCATGCAAGTAGCTCAGCCCCGACAGCAGCGGAGCCACCACCAGGTCCACCAGCTGCCGCTCGCTCAGACGCTGACGTAGCGCCCGCTGCATGCCGTACAGGTCTCCGCGCACCGCAAACTCCTGAACCAACACCACCATCCGCTGTGATGGGGTGGGGGTGGTTGCGGGCGGGGTGGATGGGAGCACGGACGTGCGGGGTTAGGGGTTGACGGGGAGGAGGCATGGTGTATGTGTGCACAAAGCATAATGGCACGCAGGGAGCAGGGGCCAGATTTCTTGGACTTCTTTTGAGGACCCGGCTAGAGGACTGAAGACCCGACTAAATAACGGCTAAAGTGAAGCAGGCGGGGAGGGCCCACGTACCTCATCCTGGAATGTGCGATGGCGCCACGCGGGAGGAGGAGCAGGGAGAGAGCGAGCCGGGGAAGAGGAGCAGCAGTCGCCGGGGAGGGGGGGGCAGCAGCAGGGCCGAGAGTGGGGCAGCGGCAGGGTTAGGTAGGGGAGGAAGCGGTAGGCACGGGCAGGGCCCTGCTAGAGACGTCCGTAGCCAGGTCATGTGTGGTAGTTCACCATGTGTGTAGGTCTGTAGGTCTGTAGGGCTGCATGGGAGAGGCTTGTGGAAGGATTGTCCAACTGCCCCTCCTAGCGGAGTCCCCTCTTAACTGGCTCCCGCCCCCCAAACCCCCGAAATAGGCCGGTGCAGGTAGGGAGGCAGGTTGGGCGCCAAGCTACGCCATGTGCAGCTTGCCTTCCGCAGCACAGATGCACGAGGCATGCCGTACATTCCGCTCTCCCTTCCCAACCCCTGATTTCCACTCCTTCCCCCAACCCCTTCCCTGCCCTGGTCTTCTCCCCGGTGCCTTCCTCCTCCCCGCCTCCCGCCCAGCCCACCTTGAACACTCCGTACAGCATCACAACGTTGGGATGCACCAAGTCAATTTGGATCTGGAGGGGGGTGGTGTTACCAGGGTAGGCACGTAGGGGCTTGGGGAGAAGTCCAAACACGGAGACAAGGCGGAGTAACACTGTAGGAGGAACTGGAAAAGGAACACGTAGGGGAAGCGGTGGCCTCGGTCTACGGGTTACGGCACCCAGCAAGAAAACCAGTGTTGGAAAGCAACGTGGTACCGGTCAGCCGTAGCGGCATTTATTGCAACCGTATCAGCAGTAGCAGCAGCAGGCGCTAGAACGAGCCGCAGCACTTTCGCTAGGTCTGAAAGCAGGTGGCAGCAGCAACTTCCTAACCCTCAATGTGATATCCAAACAGGAGAGGCGGGGGCTCTGCTAGCTACTAGTACTGTACGACAGTGCTTCTCGTCACCGTACGGTTCCAACCAACGCTTGCAATTCGTACGTAAGCCCCCAGTGTGTCGTACCTTGACCTCCCGTACAATCCTGCAGGACCGCAACAGGAAGAGGGAGAGACGTGTTAATAGGTCCACTTGTGCCACTACCGCGCACAAGTACAACCTATGACACAGATAGGGCATGCCCCGGAATTGCTACTGTAGAAGGCAACGAACATGAAGTTGTGGCAATCGTTAAACAAAAGGTGTGACCCGTGGTTCTGCTGGTTTCAATAACTTCGTAACTTACATGTGAAGTATGTTGGCGGGCACGCGTGCGAGGAAGTACACCTACACGAAAAGGGTCGTGGTGTCGTACAGTCCATGTTAGCAACGTCGGCACTTATGTGCAACGACAGCGTCCGTGTGTCTTTGCAGATGCTGCATGCACATCGGGTCAGTTGATGGTTGACCGTTGGGAACACACAAAACGCTCGTCATACCCTTCGTTGCACCCGGTACTCAAGCGAGAAAGCAGCACTGCTGCCCAGTTCGCATGCCAACTCTTCGCATGCGTACCGGTAGCTGCCGTGCTCTCCGAATCCCTACTGCTGCCGGAACAAAAGTGTACTGCACGTACTGCATAAACTCCCAGCAAACGCAAATCCTTTCACACAAGCAAAAGGACGAGGTGGTCCGGCCCTTCGCAGCGCTGCGGCATGGTGGCTCGCTCCCCCCGCACCCCGCACCCCCACCTTGAGAGCCACAGGCAGACCCGAGTGACGGCACACCGCCTTGTACACAGCGGACGATGGGCCCTTGTAGATACGACTGGCAACATCGTAATCCTGCGAACGGGGGCCGGACTAGTTATACCGTTTGCTGTACCGCGGCACTAAGGAGCCAATGAGAACGTTACGGCGGGGCAAGAGCAGAAGCTTTGCGCCCTAAAGGTATCTCCAGCTGAACCATCAGGCTACAAGTGCAAGACCCAGGCCCAGAACCAATAGGCAAATCACCGTAGCAGCTCCCCCTGACACATCGCCATCTATACTTTCCCGCACCCTACCTCAAGGCACCAGTGCTTGCGCTGCATCGCAGCAGGTGCCCCTGGACACATCGCCAGGAGCTCAGAGCCTCCGCTGTTGCTGCACTTGCTGCAGAACGTGTTGCCTGGCCGTACAGCTATAGCTGCCGTTGGTACGGGAGGTGGTGGGACAGGATCAACGGAAACCGTTGCGGCTGCTGGTATGCTGGCGCTGCTAGCAGGTCGGGAACTCTCCTGGGACAGCTTGGAAGGACGCGAGGTAAGGCTCGCAGGGAGTTGATTTCGTTGGAAAGGAGAGCTCCCTTTGTTGTTGCCCTTGTCGTCAATTGGCGATACCGGCAATCGAGAATCGGAATGCGTAGCGGGATGAAGCCCGCGCAAGTCGTGTAGCCGCACAATGGGGTTCTTAGCGGCGCTCTCCTTGACATGGCGGTTGGCCGGCATCATGTCAGGTTGGATGCCACCGCCTACCGAGCGCGGGCTGAAGTTCAAGGCATTCCCGCAAGGCCCCGACATACTGTGCTGCAAAAGCAGGGCCTGCGGTGGCATCGACCAGGGAGCGCGGCCAGTTCGCAGTAGGGCATAGGCACAAGAACGTCACATCCCCACCCCAGGTTTTTATATCTCTGGCAAGATGAACCTAGAGCCGAAGCAAGCAAAGAGACGCTTCGGGCAATTGGGATGTTCGGCTTTGCAGGCTGGGACAGACTGGGATGAGCAACTTCGTCTCAAACAGAACCCAATAATACGCTAGATACTCACTGACACTGCACTCCCTTTCCGTTAAACAGCTGGAACTTACCTGGGCATGATTTCGGGCTCGTCTATCTCTCGGCGCCTGCGCCAACTGCTTTGCCGAGTGAAAGGGTGACGTGTCAGCCTCGCCGTTAGATAGGCGACTAAGACTACCGACACTGCTAGCTTCCAAGCTCGCCATTGAAACTGTCTCAAAGCGTGAAGACGCCTCTGGTGAATCGCATCCTACTTCGGTGCTCAGAGCTGACTCTGGGCCCCTTCCCTTTGGTTTAGAGAGCTTCAACAGACGCTTAAGCGAGCTTATAAGCCCACTCCGTTTAGGAGTCCTGAAAGTGTTTCCGGCTGCATCCATTCTCGCAAGGTTCAGTGGAGCGGCTCCAACAAAAAAGGAAAACTCTTAATAGAAGAGTGTACAGTAACAGGGGAGTAACAGCTATCGTGTTCGTCGGGGCGTCGTGGATAGGACACCGTATACGGCTTCGGAAGTAAGCATCTGATTAAGGTAAGCCGGTGGCTGTGGCTAACATCAGGCGTTCGGTCTCGTTAATATAAGATCGGGCACCCTATACTAAGCAAGCAAACAAAGCGAGTAGTTGTACGGCTTTAACTCTTCTTCTCGCGCGTTACCCGCAGGAAAGGAAAGCGTCAATTGGATATTGTCTTGTTACAGTTGGCCTGCATAACCAATGTTACACTTATATCGTTTCTTTAAGGAACGATGCAATGTTTGCGACAATGACGGGCGTGTACTGCAAATCGCCGGCAAGTCGGCAGCTCGGCACTTGTCCTGCCTGGCCGTGCTTGTTCGTCCTCTAGCTGAACTCAGCACCGTTTTCACCTACCTTCACGTCCAAGTATGCCTTTGCTGCACACCTTTCCTACCAATAGTGCGAACAAACAGTGGGAACCCTGTAACACTTTGTTGAAATGCCTGTACGCCAACGTTTCTCAAACCCGCCATGTCCGAGCTGATTGAGCAGTAGTACCCGGCCACACTCTTGTAGAGGCCGTGCTTGATGCTTGAGCATGCTAAAGACTCATGGATATTTATTTACCGTATGTTATCCTCAAAACCTGCGCAACTGCAGCATAGAACGGCGTCATTATCATCTACATTGCTTACACAGCGCCGCTAATGGGAGTCGGGAGCACCTTCTAGGGTCAGTTCACACCGTTCGGAGCGAGCAGGATTATGTGTCCGCCCGCATAAGCACCAACGACCCCGCTCGCAAATTGAACAACCGAACTTTGCCGGTAGCACGTCCTGCTTTGCTCAGCAACAGTTGAGCGGGCAAGAGCTCTGCATGGGCCCAGGTGCCGAACTAGCAGCTGGAACGCTTTGACCACCATTCGTGCGTCCAGTCGGGGTGTGTTAGCCCTACAGTTGCATGCCTTGAAGCTATAGAGTTACGCTTAGGACATGCAACTGCGCAGCACCAGTATGGATCTAGGTGTTGAGGTAGGGGGCCGACTTGACAGGCACCGCACGCACGCAACCCGCGGCGATCCGAAGGCAGAGCTTGCCTTGAATTGCAATGAGAGACTTTGGGTGAAGCTCAGAACTACCAGTAGCTGCCACTCAGAACTCTGTGCTACCAGTACGGTATCTTTCCCATCTGTGTTGTTACAATCCATCAGCAATGTCTACACCATCCATGCCAAACCAATAAACAGCCCTTATGATGTTATGGGAGATCATACACTAGCATGCACAGCAGATGGGTAACATCCCTACCAAATACGGATGCTCGAGTACATATGATTGCAATATCCTCCAATTGCCGTGCGGTGTAGGACACTAAGGTTATGCTCAGTCATACATCACGATGCGCCCAATCACTACAAATGCAGTGCCCTCAGCTGAATCCATCCGCATCTTACGAAGTGTCACGTCTTGCAACAATGCGTCATACCGCCGGTATCACTGTATGCCAGGAAGCAGCATATAAATGTCATGCAAAACACGTGAACATGCACGCGAGCCCCGGATCATTCCTAACACAAAAAGACGGCCATCGATCGTTCCCGTTGTTTGACTTCTTAGCATCCTTGCACCACCTCACCTCAGCAGTCGCATGGTGCCCCCATGATGCAGCATGGCCTCACGTTGCTCCCTACCACGCCTCCAAGTCGGTCACTCTCCTTCTACTCCAAAGTCTTTCTACCCTCCTCCTGCTCTTCCTTTCCTTCATGCCCCTCCCTCTCGTTCTCATGAATCACGTCATCCCACCTTCCCGCTTCCCTCCTCCTGCCTGCTCCCACTTCTCCATCGTATATACCTCCCTCCCCATTCCCCTCCTGCTCACGCCTTCTCACCCTTCGCCTGCTCCCCCTCCGGCTGCTTCACCTTCTTGGGGCACTTCCGCGGGCACTTCATGCCGCACCCCTCAGGCGCCGTCACATGCGCCGCCACGCCCAGCGCGCAGCCCGCCGCGCTGCCGCCCACGAGAGCCATGCCGTACAACCCCGCCGTCGTACCGGCGACGCCACGTGGCAGCAGCACGGCAGCCGCCGCCAGGCCCACAAAGGCTCCCGCAAAGGAGAAGCAGTCGGTGCGGTTCTGGCCCTTGTTGTAGTGCAGGCGGTAGGCACGGTCCTCGAAACCGGCCTGGTCGATGGTGGTGAACTTGAGAGCCCCCAAGGCGCCTGCGGGAGGAGGTAAAAGGAAGAAAACTGTTACAAAACATGCTGTGAATTAACGTGGCAACCTGTGGTAAAGTTCCTTGGTGTGCAGGGTAGGTGGAAGGGAGGGTTGGGGCATGTTTAATTGAGGAGACACTAACTTTGGGGTCGCCAACAAGGGGTCAGGTTAGGGAAGGCGTTAATGGTTGGTATGAGCCTGATGGTGCCAAGGGGTGTGGTTGAGCAAGGAGGGTGCGGGAGAGGAGGAGGAAGTGGTTGGAAGAGGGAGGGTTCCGGAACGCGGTTTGGGTTAAAGGAAGCGAGCTAATGTTGGATTGTTGACAGGTGGTTCATCGAAAGCGACGCTGGTAAAGCTTAACGACGTGACCGCAGGGGAAGAACGAAATGCAAGCGGTTGCTTGCAGGGAAAGGCAAGGAAAAGACCTCTGGGAAAGAAAGGAAATAACTGTTGTCCTAGGCCATTCTTTTAATCAAACAGTCGCCCTGGCGCACCTGTCGCAGCTGCACCGGTGACTGCGCTCGTTCCAAGTGCGCGCATCAAAGCGGTGGGATCGCGGACCTTCTTCCAAAGAACCATTGCTGGAAGAACAGCGGCGACGCCAATTACGCTGCCAGCTTGAAATCCTTTTTTCACGATATGCCACATCACGTAGGCAGCAGGTGAAGCCGGGGCCACGTACTCATCGCTGGCCTTACAGGTTGGCGTGGGAGTAGTCGCGGCCATAGTTGTCTAGTTTTTCGGTGATGAGTACTGACGCAACGTGTATGTATTCTGTCGATATTTGCCTCAAAAGCAACACGTATTTCCCTAGTCCTGTACTGACACGTGACAGTCCTCCACGACGGAGGAACTTAACAGTCGTTTTACAAATAACCGATGATAAGAAGTGGACTGTAAAGCTGAGTGTCCAGGTTATATATGGTCAATCGTGCATAATAAGCAGGGCTGGAGTACTGGCAGTGGCGTAAGCCCTGCGTAAGTTCAGCCTGGCCGCTTGCCAGCCCAGCGTAAGCGGGCGAAACTCACAAGTCCCACTGCTTCTCTAGCTGTGCTTATCCAATGCTATGGGCGTCACGATTAGACCCCAGAAAACCTCGACGCTGTAATTGCCTGGCGCCCGTCTGACGTGTCCTGAGCAACATCCCTTCGGCTTTATAATAGTACCGGTAATGATTGGGGAATCAAACACGATACTTGCGATGGGATCATTCAGGCTGCCTGTTACCTCCATGGCTGACAGGCGCAGGGCTGTTTTCGGCAAAACAATCGATTGAAGGTCATACAGCATTATGTATGCCCATAATAAAAGAGGTCGCGACCTACCTGGTGCTTACGGCGTTTCGCTCTCGCGTGACTTTTACGGTAACCAAGATCCATGGATCGTGGATACGGCGTTCCCGGCAATAGGCGGCTTCCTGTCGTGCTATGTAACGCTACAAACTCTGAGAATGCTGAGGAAGTAGCGCGCATGGCAGCCATCTTTCCAAGGCACGCAGCTTATGACGAAGTAATTGCTTCACGAACCGCATTTGGAGCGGGGAGCGTGTGCCTCCGGGCTCCGCGGGGAGCGGATTGCCGGTACCCCTTTTGACCCTTTTGACCCCTGGCAACCCCTGACAGCCCCTGGCAACCAGGCCAACCATCAGAGCACCAACAGCTGACATGGAACAGCCTTGACACGTGCTGCCCCCTGCTGCGCGTGTCAGACGCAACAGGACGCTGGTCCATGTCCTTTCCTTCCCGCCCCTTCCCACAGTGCCGACAACAACCGCCACACACGCACCCTCTCCCCCAGCCACAGCAGCGAGCAGTCTCCTCAACCAACCCAACCTCCTCATCCTCCTCAACCGCCTTCCTCTTTCCCTCATTCACCGCCTTCTACCCTCCTATCCGCACACACCTCCGGGCATACCCGCACGAGGTCCGGACCCCACCACCTCTCCTCAGCTCGCCCGCTGACAGCAGCAACCCGCACACACGCACGTACCGCACCCGCGACCAAACGTACGGCACAAGCATGCTAACTACACTCCCTCTCCCCCTTCGAACCTGCATCCGCGCGCCTCGAGCCCCGCACGCAGATACCTCGGAGACATCTTTGTCTTCCAGTTTGACAAATGCCAGCCCGTCCTCGTCGTTGCATACACCGTATCTCCTCAACCGATAGCCATGCGCCCAGAGCACAGCGCGCATGCCTCCAAAGCCTCCGAGCACATGCCAACAGCAGCAGCAGCAGCTGCAGCGCTACAGACACTCCCCTGAGGACAAGCCCCCAGCAGGCTCATCAGCTGCTGCTGCATAGCCCGCGAAAGGGGCAGTACGAATGCTACGTACGTACGTTCGGGGCAACATGTTCAGAAAAGCAACATGTCTAAAACAACAACACATTTTGCAGATAACTGTGCAAAAAAACACTTTCATGCGGTTTATCCAGCTCGTTAACATCCGTACACCTTGCAAGTACTGGTGGTGCAAATACTGGATTATTAGGTGAAACCACGAGCCCTCTTCCATGTGCTTCACATACGCCTTGCAGTTAAGGCGGTAAGAGGCGCTGCTTTACAGTAGGAGATGCTGTTAGTGCGAACGGCTGTGTGCGAGAGGACTCTGGAGACTGACTGAGTTGAAGGGACAGTGAATGAATGACCGTTACAATGACAGTGGACAGTGGTGTTACCAGTTACTACTGACTGCCACAATCATAGGCAGCTCTCTGCTTGGAGCCCTTGCAACTACTGACAAGGCAAAGCGCGCGACCCAGAGTACCTGAGCGACATGAGTCCCACGCCTCATGCGTCAACTGTACGACCACTGCATAACGAACCAACCAACGGACTACCCGTCCGACTCTTGCGACTCAACGTAGCTCAACGTGGCCAGGTTTGGCACGAACCCTAATTACATCAACAGACGCTACTGCCGTTAGCAAGGCGTAGCAGCATGCTCAACCTCGTAAGCAAACAAACAAACAAGTTCGTCTGGTTGAAACATATTCTCCCACAGTAATCTGTGGCATGGTGGACTTATTGCAAGCGCATGAAGAGCAGCAACAACAGTCACCATGCAACACTGTTTATTCTTATTTACTCCTGCACAGACGATGTATGGAGAAGCCAACTAACCACACGGAAGATTGAAAAGACACACAGCAATTCTAAAGCCAAATGAGGTTTAACAGCGACCGACAGTAGGAAGGCCGCTGGCTAACAGGAAACAGGATGCAAGGTACGACACAATGAGCGAACCTCTCGACCTGCTGTTAGCGGTCGTGAGAGGGCCGCATTCCCGATTATTAGGTTCACTAGCTCTCGTGCTTTTCCGACCTCGTTCGATAAACCGATCCACATACCAACTGTTAATGTGGAAAGGACGCCCGCGGTATACCTTATTTGCGGGTACCGACCCATGGGTCATGCACACTGAGACGAACATACTCGTAAAGCCATTGTGCTCAATACAACGTCTGCCAAGCCAAGTAAGCCCACTAGCAGACATGTGTTGCTACTGCATTACCATACCTCCCACCAGAGCCATGCCATCTTGCCTTCCCTTGCTAACAATCTCTTGGCACGTTCGTTCGCGCCGGCCTCTTCCGGATTGATCGGGCCCTGCTGGACATGCGTGCACACGTGGCTAGCACCACAGCTCAGCTGACTTCATCACACATACACAGATGCTTGAAACACTGCTTAAGAAACCAGGGAGTACTGCATGCCAGAAACGCAGCCGTCCTAAAGCTTCTGCATCGACCGGCAGGGACACTGCAGGGCACACAAAGCATCAAGACATGCAAGAAGGGCACCCATGATAAGGGAGCTGCGGACCCGCGAACCGCAAACTTGCACGCACAAACAGTCCTCGTACGTACTCGCAGTTGCCATACCCCTGTCTCCCTCGAAATGCCATCCATTGCCATCACACAACACAAGCTTCGTACCACCACCCCAGACCCCACCTCCCACCTCATTCGGACTGGGCGGGGGTCGGGCCGGCTCACATGCTGCAAACCATGATGACGCCTTATTGGTTATTGCACGGTCAGTTACTTGTTTCCCCCCTCATCCCTGAACCCATCGCAACAGCCGCCTACCCGCCCTAGCCGCAAAGCCCCCCTCCTGCTCCCTCTCCTCCGCCTCCACCTCCGCCCTCGCCCCTCGGCCGCCCGCCTCTTCCTCCCCACGCTCCGCCCGCTGCAGGTAGCTCAACCGCCAAGCCAGGTCCACCGCGCCTGCCAGCAGCACCGACAGCCCCACCAGCAGCAGCGCCCAGCAGCACGCAGGCAGCCAGCCGAGGGGGCGGCAGCGGAGCGCGACGGGCAGAGGCCCGCCGGGGTGGCTGGTGGTGCTGCTGCTGCCGCTGCTGCTGCTGGTGGTGGTTGCGAGGCGAAACATGACGGTGAGGATGGCTGCATCCGCCGCCCAGCAGCCCCTGGTGCTGAGCACGTGTATCTGGGGTGGTTGGGAGGGGGAGTGGGGGTGGTTGGTTGATCAGTTGCTCGTTGGAGTGTGAGGAGTGTGGGAGGGGTAAAAGGGGAGAGCTTGATTGGTAGGGCTTGCGTAAAAGCGACGACGGAAGGCGATGCGATCTTGTACGGTATTGGTAGGATATCTTGGTAGGCAAGCGGGCCTAGCGGAGGACATCCAACTCCCTGTAACCTAACCCCGTCCCCCACTCACGCTGTACGACGCAGGTTGTACGACAACCACCAGGGCCGCCAGCGCCGTACCGCTGGTGAGGAGTGCCGTACGGCGCTGCGGCGGCGCCATGTACGGAGCAGCACCTCCATGTTCGTACTTATGCTGCGGTTGTTGCAGTTGTTGCTGCTGCAAGTTTCCAGTTGCTTGGGAGGCGGGGGACATGGACGAAGGCGGGTAGGAGGAGGAGAAGGCGGACGGTAGCGGGGAGCAGTGGAAGGCGGTGTAGAGGAAGAGCGCGAGGATGCATGCCATGTGGGTGAAGCGAAGGCAAGGGTCGCGCAGCCTGGGAGGGGGGCGGGCAGGAAGCATGGCTGCGTCCAGTTGGGGAGGGCTATCGGTGAAGGAGGGAGGTTGGGCGGGAAGGGAGTGAGAGGAGTGGAGACCTCCGTAAGCACGAGGTAAGCGGTTTGTACGGCATGCCTTCAGCCGGCAGGGCAAGGGGCGCGGAGGCGGCGTGTCTGGTGGAGCAAAGGGGGGTATGGTCCTTGCCCCCCCTTCCCACCTACCGGGGCAGGTACCGGGGCAGGTACCGGCAGGGCAGGTAAGGCAGCCTATGGGGTCCTACACGTGCCGCTGCCCACTCGATACGCCGCTGTTCCCCTCCCTCCTCGCAACCTCGCGCCAAACTCCATCTGCAATAACACCTCTGCAACATCCCCTTCCACGTCCCACCGCTGGACAGTCTACCCTTCAGGGACCGCTAACCCTCACTTTGTATCGTAGCACCCTATCCCCATTGCTCCGCCCTAACCCGTAGTTTCCTACGGTTCGGTATGGTCCTTGCCCCCCCAACCCCCACCCCACCTCGTCAGTGTCTCATTATATTTTTTACCCCACCTGGAGCTGCCCCCCCACCTGGAGCTGCCCACCCCGCTGTGTGCCGCGAACGCCACCGCAGGGCCCACCAGGCACCCGCACGCCATACACAGCGGGGCCACCACCGCCGCAACGTCAGGCCGACACCAGCCCCGACGCAGCTGTCGCAGCATGCTCCCCACGCCGCCGCCGCTCCCGCCGCCACCGCTATCGTACGCGAGGCCATACGGTCCATCTGCCGCGCCGCCGCCATCGCCATCAGCTGCCATGCCTGCCGCCACCGCCACTGCCGCCAGCGCTAGCAGCAGGTTGACGGCGGCGGTGATGATGTCGTACGGCGGCGCCTGACGGCAGCGGTATGCCGTACAGCGATGCTCCAGGGCGGGGTCCC